CAAAGTACATTAACATTAACAAATAAAGAAAAGTAATCTAATTCTTTAGGCCTAAACAACATTCAGAGCAGATAATTGATTTGTACTCTAGATTAAAAGTACATTGAAATCAGCTCCACACTACATGTTTTTAGTAGTGTGAGTTTTTTTTTAAAGGAAGCATTTAGATTGTAATTATTAGGGTTTGTGTTCATTGGGTCCCTGTTTTAATTTCTAAAATTGTGAAGGTCAAGAGTTAAAACAGGGACTACATGAACAGTACATGCACTGGGACCCTGATATTGTTCAAGTCCTGCTCAATGTTGTTGTTGTTTTAGTTATGATTGGCGTTTATCATTCATTTATGAATATTTACGCTTTAAATAATACCTTGTACATGTACATGTACATGTAGGCTTGTACTGGGTTTTCAGGACAAAAAACTTTCTTACATGTAGATTCTTCATGATCCAAGGCATAAAGATACATTTTCATGTAGAGCTGTATGCCAGGAGCCCACACGTAGAGTCCAGACCCAGACCCTCTCGTTTATGACAATTTCCTTAAATAATCAAGGCCCAATTACTTGGAAATTAATTCCAAACCCAAAATCTACAATGAACATGTAGCCAAGTTGAGTGTACTGTACCTGTACTACCAAGGAGTTCTCACAACTCCTTGGTACTACAGGTACATGTACATGCATGTATTTACGTACACTGTATGTAACTTAAGCCTTTACATGTTTTATGAATGTTGTAAGTGGTTCCAAACTTCTGTAGGGTATAGATTCCAAGCAGAACAATTAACTAATCAATAAGCCCTTAAGAAACTGTCTCGTATTGATCGCTGAATAATCACTCTATAATAGCATTGGTTGCAAAGGTCTTTCAGTTTTATTGTTCTTCCATAAAACAGTGCGGATTGTCCACCCAAAGATTAGTGGCTACACAACATTAGTGGCCTTTGAGGCATCATCGAGTTTCTTTTGTTGGTTTGAATGTGCTTTGGTCAAGATGGAATTAAAATCTGCCTCTGGTGTAAACTGTAATGTGAGTACACAGTGCAATTTTGCATACATACATGTTAACTTAAACCATGCAAAGTTGCTTGAAATGTCTTAAGCCAAATTCATATGAAACTTTCTTGAACGAATGAAGAATAAAATGTCCGCCCTTTTTTGCAGTTTGAGTGAAGTCAATGGCCATAGCAGAATGAACATGTCAACAGTTGAATTATTGTTTCAAAACATTTTTAAAAAAGTGCAAACTGGCACAAATTTTTGTTCCCACAAACCATAACAAAATAATGTATATTTTAAAAAGTAATCTACAAGATACAGAATGTGCACAACTAGAAGTACATGTAGCCTGTAGTGTACATTAAGGTTCAATCTGATTTATAATCTGTGGAGTTGACTGGATGTGAAACAATGTCAACAACATGTATTTGAACACATGGGCAATCGTAGCCAGAATGGTCACACATCAAGGTAAATTCAGACAGCTTACATTATCTTAAGATCTGTAAAGACTATATTAAAGAAGTTGAGTCAACAAACAGTAGCTCTTGTGGACACCTCATTGACCATGAAGGATATCAGAAAGGACATCTTATAGAAGTAATGAAATGTCAAGTCAATTTGATAAAGAACTTAATTACAAAATAATGTAATGATAGGACAGTGTTATCTTTGCTAAAGCCACTGGCAGAGCTGCCAACCTCCAGAACAGAAATCAGTAATCACAAGGCTCAAAATCAGTAATTTGGGGTATAAATCAGTAATTTCTTATGCGGCGCTATGAATCTAAAAAAACGACACGCCAACACTGCGCGGACGCATGATTATCTGAAATTTTTGGTGATTTTACTCACACAAAGATGTTAAGTATTGAATTTCAGGTCATCACAACACAGTTTATCATGAAAAATGGCTCCTATTCACAGCACTCGCTACGATAAATCATATTTAATTCATTAAAAAAAAAAAAAAAAAAAAAAAAAAAAAATCCGTAATTTGAGACAACATTCCGTAATGGTCGTTAATTTCCGTACCAATTACGGAAAATCCGTACTAGTTGGCAGCTCTGCACTGGGCAAGGTGATTTTTGTATTTCTCAAACATATTCCAGAGAAGGAAGGGGAAATTAGACCTAAGCGATACAGTGTACATGTATATTTGCCCAGATTGGAAAAGTAAAAATACGTAGATAGATATTTACCAAAATTGCATTGTATGTACATGTACAACTCGTTTCTGTAAGAGGTTTCAATCTTTTGAGTAATTGAACATCAACATATACATGTACATTGTCTTTAACTTTTATAGAGATTACATTGAACTACTGTACTCAACTCCACATTTACAATTCATGATCAGCCAAAATTGTATAGGAAGCCAGTACAAGTTTGACACTGTATGTAAAACACTGACAAACCCAGTTAGTGAGCACTACATGTACAGATGTACATGTACATGTTTATTAAAGATGCAGAGTAAATTTTAAGTACATAAAATGTAGGAGTCAATTCCTTGTCTTTGATGGTGTTTTTTGTTTATTTCTCTACTTAACAGTAATCTGTACCGCACAAATTAACACCAGTAGACTCTGACCATTCCATCCATTGTTATTGGCCTTTAAATATGTGTAGGCAATGTAGCCATAGGATCATCCCCTCATAATAATAATAATAATAATAATAATAATACAGCTTGAACAGTGTTTGGTATATTAACTGGTTCTTGAATTGCCTTGCTCAACTTCATTCCATGTTTATTTCATGAACACAAATGCAAGACCAGGAACAGTCATTGCTTGAAAGGTGTGCACTAAGAGATGGATTAAGAGGTTAAAGCCAAGTCTAATGAAAGCGACTTTAAGAGGATTAAGATTTGACCGAGAACCTGTTGTTCTTAATTGCTTTCGCCATGGCAACTCATCAGGACTTTTCATCTCACACACTTCACACATACTGTACATGTAGCTGATGAGCAATCGGTCCACTCAAGGAACTTGAAGCCCCATGGTCTACTAGATTCTTCCCAGTAGTGCATGGACAGATATCGACTCTGGAACAGGAAACCTATAGATTTAGTGAGATTCAAAGAGGACTTAGCTTTGCTTCATCAAAAAATGAGAATGAAAACAGAAAAGCCTGAAAATGGATCAAATGAAAATGTCAGACAACCTACACATTTCTATACGTTTGTGAATTATAAAATTAAGTGTATCTGCAAAATGGGTTACATGTACAGTGTATCAAAGTACATTTAACTCTTTGACTGAAATCTACTCATGTAATTCCCACAATGTTGTAAGTCTACATATATAGTAAAAATATCTTAGGCCAGCCCTTTTAGAAAATTTATAATATCCCATAATTTTACAGTTTATCTCTAAGAAAAGAACATTTTGTAACTTTTGGGAAACTACATTTGTAAGTTGTAAACACTTACAGTGTACATTGTAACATGTAGACCTACACTTTTTTTTAAATCCATTGTTTTCAGTACCGGTATATTTATCTGCCTCAGACTTACATGCACAAATTTCTTCTCAGATTTTCTTTCCCTTTTCCCTAATCTTACAATTGTTTAAGGTAAAGCAGTGGTCACAACAACAATGAAGTGAATCCATATCTTACACAGTACATGTATGTGCCGAAATACACCTGTAAGTTTCTTCTCTTCTCCTATTAAAAAAGGCACCCCTTCATTGTAAGTAAGCATTTGTAGTTCTTCTTAAATTGTAGACTCACTGGACTGTGTACTGAAGACCTGGTACTGTACTTATTGCCTACGAATATACACCATTTACCATTCCACAGAGTCATTCAGAAGTGAAGTCTCTCTCTCGCTCTTTCTCTCCACACAGGCATATACACAGTGCAGTATGCAGTGACAATACAGACACTGTGACTCTCTACATGTATGAGCTTCAATGACTCACTGCCCTATGCGGTCTGGAACAGACTGTAAAGGATTGTGGCAAAAGCAGGTAAAAAAGAAGGACAATTTCCTTGAAGAAAGGACTTCAGTGAACAATACTATTACTGTACATGTTTTTCAATGACACAATTACATTTTGTGTTGTATGGGTTTTAACATGCCCTACAAAGGCACAAGGCTATGTGTATTCCTACATAATCTTCTTCACTAAGCCAAGACCAAGGAGTTTGTCAACTCCTTGCTCTCACCAGACACCTCAGAATTTCATTATTCCACAACACAAGAGAACCAGAAGGCTCATTTACTCAATGCATTGAGTCAACACCTTTTGATTTTAAGCACTGGAGCAGATAAGGCACATTGGCATGTCAAACATGTATACACATACCTGTGCTTTTGCTTTAAATTTAAAGTCTTTGCTACATTTTAACTTTCTGAAATGAAAGTGGGCTTCACATTTATGTAATGTGTTAACCAATTCTATCCTGCTTTTGCCACAATTCTATCCTGTAAAGGTTGATTATCTGGAAGTATAAATCCACTTGATTCTATCTTGGCTCTTACTTATAGTTATTTGTTTTTAAAATACAAGTTTAAAGAAAATTTAAACACAGATACATAATTGTAGGCTCTATAAAATCAAACAAAAGATTTGAGTTCAGATCTTTTTTGTTTGGACTTTAATTCACTAAGGACTATCAAAACTCAAAAAAGTCAAAGATTTATCAAATCACAAAACCAATACATTCCTCTGGAGAAAAAAAAAATGTACAGAATCAGACAGTTTTTTTAACAGTATTACCATCAATTTCAAGTCACAAGACTGAACATTGAAATTATTACCCCAAAAAAATCAATAAAAAATGAATATTTATAAAATAGACAATTTTGTAATTTGGGATACAGAAAATAAAGTCAAATAATGTGACAAACAGTAGATAAATATGGGTGCAACATTTCAACTACATAATGTATAATTTACTAATTAAGTGAATTAAGAAACAAAACATTCATTTTCTCTGAAATAATTTGCAACAGTCCCGAATCGGAAGAACGTGACAGAACAACTTACCATAGACAGATACCGGAAGCAAGGCTGACAGAACGAAAGTTAGCAGAGTCAATAAAGTAAACCTGAAAATGGTCCTCATTTTGGAAACTCCTTTGCGGTCCTTCCGACAAGTTAAAACATCCACCAGTTAAAAGGAGATCTCTAGTCCGTAGGATAAAAGTTTTAATTCAATCATCTGGCTTTTGGTTGTCTTAAACGATGTAAATGTACAAGATTTCTTCAAGAAAAGTTGTAAGATTGTAGAGCGCTACAATGCACTGAACGTTCTATTCTCAATACCGACGCTGCGCGTTGGTTGGGATCGCCAAAACCAGACCGGTTATGAGCGAGACGGTTGTTACTTTTCACTTCAGTTGTGGGGGAATAAACCACAAATCATAGGCAGGAATACAATTTGAGATAGTCAATCTTCCTGTTCAAGTAAACAAAATATAAATAAGAATCCTTGATTGTTAATCCGACGTAACTTTTTCAGCAAATGGTTTCTCCGCAGATTTCTTCACCAGGCCATGTTCACAAACTTTTAACTTTGAAGAAGTTGTCCCAGTAATTTTCTCAAAGAACATTACCAGACAGTAACGCAAAAAGTTACTGAACTTGGGATAACATTGTCAAATAACTTCTTCAATGCATTCCCTGGTATTCCTATGTGATTTCTCCTTCCAAAGATACAGATTTCAGTACTTTATCGGTACCAATTTTTAACTCTGCAAGAGCAACACAGCAGGGTCCAGCGAGCAGCTCACTTGAACGTAATCCGGTACGGAGGTCAGGCTAGGGTGCTCCGCTGGAGTTCAGCGCGTCTCAAAAGCGGTGATGTGCTAAAACCGCAAGTTCGTAAAACTTCACAAACTTGTCGAATTTCGGCAACGGAGAATGAAAATACACGAGGAAATCCGTAGTCGATACTCTCCGGGTCTCCTTCTTGTAAACAGGATACAAACATCCAGAATTCTATCAGAAACTAATGCATTCTTTTGGTCTGCATTAGCCCTAGAAAACACTGGCAACGTAACCTGCCTGTTTACAATACCCGAAAGTACCGGGCTTGGTTAAATGTACACAAGCTGGCCCCATGTACTACATAATATATTACAGTGCCAATGCATACAACAGGCCTTGTAACTCCACCTAGCGAAGCGGAGCCTATTCACCGGTATAATATGGTCCATGTTTGCACCCCTCTTCAGGAGCTGCGCTTAAGTGCATTCAAACGATAGCTGGCAGTGTTACTCTTTTTTTTAGTCTCAAGATAGTTTTGCTGAATAATCCGAGCAACTAAACAAAATGTTCAAGCAGAGGAACAACTTTCACATATTGTCACAAGTTTCTCTCACCTTGTTCAGTCTTTTCTCAATATCTTCTTCTCGGCCCAGTTTCTCTTCAAATGTTCTGATTTCTTTTTTGTCATTTTTTTTTGTTTTCATTGCTTGCTGGATGTTTTCAGAAGAGAAACAGAGTTACTATTGCGCTTCAAATTATGTTTGTTATATTGATAATCTGCTGTTCCAGTTACTTTATTAGAAATTCTATGTACAAATGTTTGTGAAAGAAGAAATAAAATGAACTATGAACTATGAACTATTGAACCAAAAGTAGGCTAAATGTTCTTGGATTTTGAAATCTGTAGAAACACAAATTGCTCCTCATTTTTGTACAAACTTACAAAAAAAGACAATCGTTGAAAACAAAACAGATTCTTTCAGTTTGCTGACAGCAGTTTGGTCTAACTAGTAAAACTCATTATATTAATTCGATTTTCATTCATATAGTTAGATCGGTGTCCCATCCATGATGCCCTTGCCCTTCAAATGTACATTACTGGTTAAGCCTCCCCCCCCCCCCCCCCCACTGAACAGACCAGGGGCGTACGCAGGATTTTTTCAAGGGGGGGGGGGTTTTGCTCCCGAAAATTTGAAAAATCGCGCCGGCCGAAAAGTCGCTCAGTGGGGGGGGGGGGGGGGGGGGGTAAGCGGTCACTTTTTTTTTTTTTTTTGGAGTCCAAAAAAAATCGCAACGACTCAGCCAGCCGAAAAGTCGCTCAGTGGGGGGGGGGGGGGGGGGGGGGGGGGGTAAGCGGTCATTTTTTTTTTTTTTTTTTGGAGTCCAAAAAAAATCGCAACGACTCAGCCAGCCGAAAAGTCGCTCAGTGGGGGGGGCAAGCGGACACTTTTTTTTTTTTTTTTGGTCTCGAAATTTCAAAATTTGACATTTTTCTTCGTTGGGGGGGGGGGGGGGGGGGTAAGGTCACCTTTTTTAGGTTAACCGTGGGTATAATTTTATTTATTTATTTATTTATTTATTTTTAATAATTAAAAAAAAAAAAAAAAAAAAAAACCAAAGGGGGGGGGGGGGGGGGGTTTGGGTTTTTTTTAGGGGGGTTTACACACATAAAATTACCAAAGGGGGGGTTTGAACCCCCAAACCCCCCCCCCCCTGCGTACGCCCCTGGCACAGACACACACCGTGACTAACTTCTCTCGAGATGCCGAGAAGAAGAAGGAGGACAGAAGAAGAAGAAGAAGAAGAAGAAGAAGAAGAAGAAGAAGAATAAGAAGAAGAAGAAGAAGAAGAAGAAGAAGAAGAAGAAGAAGAAGGAAGAAGAAGGAAGAAGAAGAGAAGGGGGAGAAAGAAAAAGAACAGAAACGAAAGCCAAAAGCTGCTATTGTTGGAAACAGGACGTTTGAAGAAAGAGAAATAAGAGAAACTTTGTTAAGGGGTGGGAGCAAGACATCTTGGATTACAGTATTAGGAAAAGAGATTTAACGTGAGAGATTGAGAGAGGGAGAAAAAGTCGAAGATGAAGCATTAAATGACAAAGGACCAAAGAACAACAACTGCAACATAACAGAAAAATGCAAGAAAAGAACGTTTCTCAAGCTTTTACTCGATCCATTCTTCAGACTTTTTGCTTTCATTCTCTACAACCGGCTTGATCGTAGCAAAGCCAAGTCCTCAACATAGAGGTTTTCTGTTCCATATACTACTGGGAAGAGATGAAATAGCCAAAAAAAATTGCTGGCAAAAAAAGGAATCCAATTAGAAAGTAAAAATTAGAAAAATTAATTCAAGTAGAAAATAAATAAAAGTGAAAACAGCTAGGGGAAGGGAGATGTCAAAAATAATAGAGAAAGGAAAAAGAGTCTTAGAGAGGGCGGGGGAGAGATAGTGAGAAAGAGAGGGGGGCAGAAAGATTAGTATGTCTCTTTCTCCCTTCATCTCTCTGTCTCTCTCTCTCTTTCGTCCCCCTTCTCTCTCTCTCTCTTTCGCCCCCTTCTCTCTCTCTCTCTTTCTCATCACTTCGAACTCTCCCTCTCCTACACCTCTCCCTTTCTCTTTTAACAAAAATTTGAATTTGATCAAAGAATTTTTTATAAAATGTCTATATTATGTTTGACTTTTGATTAATGTCCTATTTTGTGACATTTGAATTGCAATTGTATTGTATCTTTGTGAAATGGATCGCAATGCAGCCATTGACTGCAATGATCTTTTGAATAAACCATTTCTATTCTATTCTATTCTACATAGAGGAGTGTGTGAGACAGAGAGAGAGAGAGAGGGGCAGGGGGAGAGAGAGAGAGAGAGAGAGAGCCTGGAGAATGGGAGGAAAAGAGAGAGAGAGAAAAAGAGAGGATGTGAGGGAGAGAGGGACTGAGAGGGGGGGGGGAGAGTGAAAAAGATACAGAGGAGAGAGAGGGAGAGAGAGAGAGAGAGAGAGAGAGAGAATGGGAGGAAAAGAGAGAGAGAGAAAAGGAGAGGATGTGAGGGAGAGAGAGAGGGACCGAGGGGGGGGGGGGGGGTGAGAGTGAAAAAGATACAGAGGAGAGAGAGAGAGAGAGAAATAGGAGAGAGATATGACAGGGGGTGATTAAAGTAATACATAAACATACACAGATCAACACAAGAGTCAACAAAAAGATGTTATTTCCTTTTATACCCAAATTTATTACACACAAGATTTATTGCAGCAGTCAGAGAAGATTATCTATAGCTTTAATATACAACATGTTTGATCTAGCCTTTATGAAAGTTCTTGAAAGAATTACTACCACACAAAACATTTAAAGTGTTTTACATATTATGCGTAGAAAGCAATTTTCATTAAAGCAATGCAACAATGATGATTTATTCCAAATGGTAGCGATCCGAATGATGTGGGGGAAGGGGGCACATACGGGGTAACTTTTCTTTTTGTTCGTCAGAGATTTAAATGAATATTCATACATGTACTTCTGAAAATGTAGTATCATTTGGTACACCATAGCCATTTAAAACTGACAATTGTTTCAATATGACGCCAGTTGTGGGTTATCAATATCAGTGAGGGGGCACATGGAGGTCATGCTACAGCACATTCATTAAGAACATGCTCGGCAGACTAAACTTGAACACATGGACACAGGTCAGAGTCTTTGAGACAACAGAGCTCCATGCCTACTGCAAAGTGACCCATGTCTGATCGTAGGCGATTCAGCTAACCCGGCGCTTCTCAAAATGTGATTCAACTGTTTTATGAATCTTGATTTCTTGGAGATTATCAAGACAAAACTCTCCCTAATTAAAAAAAAACAAACAAATTTTGCGGGTCGTTGTCAGTAATGCTGTGACAATCCATCAGTGGCCATCATGACTAAATGGAAGCAACAGCATTAAAATTACACATTTATTTACACATCAACAAAGAATGTTGGTTCTGATTATTCTATACATGTATGAACGATTGAAGCTGAATGTGCATGTAGTCAAACATGGATGGGATAGAAGTTTATATCATATCTGAGGGACGAGGTAAGCTTGTCAAGGTTGGCAATGTGATTTCTTTGCTACAAATCATGAAAATCAAAGCAGAAAATCAAGCAAAATCTATCAAAATATTGTTCCAAATGATTGTGTTCAAATACTAAATACTTAAAATCAGCATTGTTTTTTCCGGCAACCCTCATAATTGTAGATGAATATGTATAAACATGTATACATTAACTGTTGAATGCTATGATCAAATGCTTGCAACTTGTAAGGTGCTATATAAAAAGTTATTACTAGTAATATTTATTTTTGCTATTGAGCAGATACAAAAATTGACACAATGTGTAATGTTACTGCCACGCTGAATTCAAACCTAATGAATCTTCCACCAAGACATAAATGAGCTGATATTTACACATAACAATGGACAAATCTCAGAACCCACAAGCCCTTTTAAGTCTACACGTTTATGTCTATTATTTACACAGTACAGTTACCTACTCACATTACTTCAAGTATATTGTCATCCATTTTGAATGGCAGAAGACAAGTATGGCACTACCATCAATGTAGAAAGCAAACTGTACATGTTTCTTAATGGATACATGTCTATATTGATCTTGCAATTAATAAGTTGCTTCATTGTATAAATGCAAACTGTTATTGAACGCTCAGGTTAAATTTGGAGTGCTTTTGTTGTACTCTGAACAGTTTCATGTTGTGGCTGAATACAAATACAAAAAATCACACAAAACAGCAAGAGATGTATAACATCTTCAAGGGTTTGAGATCATTTTCTTAGCGATAAGACAGAGATGGGAAAATCCTTTATTCACCGCTTTTAAGGAAACTGAACATTGTTAAATCTATCATAGACTTCACTTCCACAAATTTCAGAACTCCTTACACATGCACATTGTACATGTGCATACATGTGTGTATACCGGGTATGCACTTGCATAAAATAAAAAAATGAAATTGATGAAAATAATATTTTAAACTGTGTAGTACCACTAGAGGAAATAACAATACAAATATCTCACTAAATTTAAAACGACAATAAATCAGTTATGAAAATGTCTTTTAGGTTCCTTTTTAAGTACGATGTGATCCTTAAAGTAAAACAAGCGTGTAGAAAGGTAGGAAGCAACATAACACTATATTGGCTGATACAATGGATATACCCACACAACAAGTTGGATTTCATACATAAATATATTATTAATTATCAAACCAACCATCCCTATATCTACATCTTACATTACAAATAACATATACAATTTAACTCTTTAATAAATGATCTATTATTTATGAATTGCATCACCTGTACCACACTCTGAAACCAACGCATTGTCCAAAACCAGTTCCCCTATTGAGTTGCAGGCTTAGATCTACCCATCTCAGTTAGTCTTAATCACCTTATGAGCTAACTTATCAACAGATTCAGCTCTTGTGAGCAAATTTCAAAATAACAGATGAACAGAGTAATGGTACTTGTAATATATAATCCCAAATATCTACACAAACATTAGTATATGAAGAGCATAATTCCAAAAGGAGCTAAATTCACTTTTGATGAAAATCAAGTTATTGATATCAGAACATTGTTCACTTAGGTACCTGTCTTTTAACAAAATTATTTACCTAAATTTTGGGAGCAATTATGAAAAATGCGTACAAAATCTGGTAAACAATTTCTTTTTTCTCAGAAGTACAAAAAATGATTTAGCTCCTTTTGGAATTAAACTCTTCATATATTATACACATTGCCAGTTGCCTGCAAGAAGGCCGTGACTGCCATTGACAACACATAGCTCTAACGGCCTATTTGCGGAGAGCCGAGAAAATGTTCCCCAAATATCTCACATACATTTAATAATAGAATGAAATTTACATCTCGGTCAGACACAATGCTTATGGAATGGCATATATATTTCGTATTTCCTTTACAAACATCTGTATAAAATACACAAAATAAATTTTGAATTTTCTTGCCTGTGAGGGCAGGAATATGGTTTAGAGTGGAACATTTGGGCAAATAAGCTATAAATGCAATTACTGCCATGATATAAAATGAGTTGTGAACTGTTACATGATCTCAAACTAGAAGTGACTTTTACAAGTGGAGCAATATACTCCAATATAGAAATAAACATTGTACATTAGAAATCATAAAGCTGTACAAACTCACCTCTGATTCTCCAGACAAATTTCTTATGATCGGGTACTACAAGGCACACATTTTTTCCCTATTTGTATAATGGATAAGCATATGACTTACATATATAAGCGAAAGTTATCTTAAGTAAGCATATGTGTACAAGTAGATGCAGACTGGCTTTTTGCAGAGGAAATTAACAATCAAAGTTTACATACATTCTCGGTGAGCAAATTAAGAAAAGAAAGAAGTGTGTGTTTCATATACATAGTCCCAACTGAAATATATTAAGATATAAATCAGTAACAACATAAACATATTTTTTTTTTAAAGGAAAAAATATGCCAACATTAGTGGCAATGAAATGAGCAATATTCCTTTTATATATCTGTCAATATTTACAAAAAAACTTCCATAAAACATCCATATCATCAACTACAAAGCCTTTCAAGGGACTTGTAAAGGTATAGACAAGTTCTGGTCTAATTGCATTGTGAAAGAAACGTTTAAAATGATAAGAAATTTGGCCCAGTCTTGGTTAAGTTACAAGCACTGTACACAGAGGGATATATATGGGACTACGCGATATCTATCTAGTCCGGATAGATATAATAATTTACCAATATATCAATTAGTAGGCAGGTTTCCCGGCAAAATTTGTATCATCACGTATTAGCCAAAACATATTCTTTCACATGATTGGTAATAAGAGCTTCCATTTCATTTTTTGAGAGGAGGGCGTTCCCAAAACTGGTCTATACCTTTAACCTGTTCCACCACTGTCCAGCAGACTGCAGCAGTGATACCCAAAGAGCTGGTGGAAGATGATGATGATGATGATGATGATCCACAACACTTGTATGGCACCATTTATCTGTTTCAAACATTCAAGGACGAATAGTTCTTGAATGGTACATGTAGGTGTTTAAGATGCAGTTGATCTTCTTATACCAGGCATTTGAACCTGCGCACCCGCTTTCCTGCGGACAGCAGTGGTGATCCCTAATTAGGTGGTGGAAGATGGACAGTTCTTGGATGATGCCTTTGAGGGTTGATGATAAGGAGCTCTGGATGCGTCTAGTTGTCTTCTACTGGTGCACCTGTTTTCCTGCAGACTGCAGAGGTGATGACACGGAAGATGGACAGTTCTTGGATGATGCCTTTGAGAGTTGATGATAAGGAGCTCTCGATGTGTCTGGTTGTCTTCTACCGATGCACCTGCTTTCCTGCAGGCTGCGGAGGAGATGACATGGAAGATGGACAGTTCTTGGATGAAGCCTTTGAGGGTTGATGATGCTTGTGGTTGTCTTTTACTGATGCACCTGCTTTTCTGCAGACTGCAGCAGAGATGACATGGAAGATGGACAGTTCTTGGATGATGCCTTTGAAGGTTGATGATAAGGAGCTCAAGATGCGTTTGGTTGTCTTCTACCGATGCACCTGCTTTCCTGCAGGCTGCAGCAGAGATGACATGGAAGATGGACAGTTCTTGGATGATGCCTTTCAGGGTTGAAGATTATGCATTTTGGCTGTGCATGGAAGGCATGGCTTCACTGATGTTCTGATCCAGCTTCTGGTACCCTGAACCACCTCGTCTTCTTCTTCCCCTGCCGTTCCGACCCTCGACTACAACGGCGATGATCTGGTGAGTAAAAGGATGGGCAAGTGAGTTGAAATGCTCGGTGAAAATAAAACATATGTGTTTTAAAGGGGGTGTAGCAAGGCAAAAACTGGTTAACGACATCTACGACTTCTTTTGGACAACTGCAGGTTAACAATGGACTTGATTAACAGTCAGCGCGTGCTAGCATTCGCGAAACAGACCAAAAATCTCCTCGCGCTTCAGATTCGCATATGTCGCACGAATGTGAATATGTAGGCCTACTGCGGTCGCGTCGTCCGTAGTCATATTATACTCGATTGGCCCTGAGTCAGGCCACGGGAAAGACATGTGTCGTCGTGTTTCGTCATGCTACACCCTTTTTAGAGTAGTGCTGTATCTAAAAGATGAGCTGTTTGTATCAAATGTCTCTAGGGTGTCCTGTGCATAAATGACCTTTATCTATTTATTTCATCCAAATACAAAGAAATCTATGAAAATATGACCATTTATTAACTTATGGCTCTTTTAGTTCATTATTATTGATCAATGATCATATCAAGCAAATTTACCGTTTTCAAAATTAAATAATGTAAAAATATTCCTATGTCATTTGGAACATATTACAAGTGATTGCTGTGTGGCTGCAAAGTGTTTTCAAATGCTGCTACTCGATATCACCATTTGTTTCACTACACTTTCACAATGGCTTGATCATGAACAAGTGGCACCCTTTATGCATGCATGCCTCTACACACATTTACATTATATGCTGCATTTGATCGACTGCGTGCAAACATATTACAGAAATGCGACACTTTATTAAATGCAGGGGTGATAGTGAGGACTAAAAAAAAATATAGGTCCCCCCCCCCCCCCCCCCCCCCCCCCCCCCCTTTGAGTAAAAAAAAAAAGGTTTCTTGAAGAAAAAAATGGCATCTAACAACATTCCCCCTTTTGAGTAAGAAAATTGGGTGAAATTGGAAAAATTTGGGAAACTAGGGGTAAAATCGGGAAGAACAAAATTGGGATACCGATTTAAATCAGGTAATCATCAGGCATGTAAATGTTTCATGAAACATGGCCTAGCTTTGTTGACCTACCTTTTGTTTGTTGTGATACATGATGTAGGTGGCTAGGATGAGAATGATTGCCGTCAGAGAGTACGCCATGAAATGAGTTTTGGCGTCGTCATCATCGTAGCCATCGTCATACTTGACATTCTGCTGACAGAGAGAGATCAAATTCAAGATGTTTGTGAGAGACATTAAAAAAAAAATCCTTACTTGGGCCCCCAACCCTGAGGGAATGCTCCCCAGGGAGTGGAGAATGTGCATACATTGTGTGCGGGTAAGCCTGAATCCGATTACAGGGCTAATGATATATACTGTACTGCGCCTAGAAACAAAGTACAGTCAAACCTGTCTACAGCGACCGCCCAAGGTAAACACAAAAAGTGGTCTTTGTAGACAGGTTCCTTTAGTACATTTTTCAATGAGAAACCATTTTCAAGGGAAACAAAAAATGTGCTTTTTGTAGACAGGTGATCACTAAAGCAGGTTCGACTGTATTAGGTGCGTTATAAACGTGATCTATTATTATTATTATTATTACATGGTGGTCTGCCGACGATTGTTGGTGGATTTATTTGTTTGTTTTAACCGACTGCTATTAAAGAAGGCATGTGTATACTTGTGAGTTAAGCAACCAGGGGACTGGCAGGGTAAAGCTCTTTCAGAGGGAGTTAGCAGTAAGGACAAATGCCTAATACCAGGTTACAGGACCACTGCTCTACTCTGAGCTATCACCCATCCTCATTGTATTTAAAACAATAACATGGTACAAGCAAATATACAAAAAAGAACATATTAATGTAAATTTGGTTGGATTATGAAAAATTTGGTGCAACTTGTAAACATGTTCCCATTAACATGAAAAGAAAATACACATTATTATAATTACAGGAAGAAAAAAACAAACAGAGAAATACAATTAGCACAGAGAATTATAAATTAATAACCATATTGAAAATGTTTTTAAGAGTATACATTTTTCACATATCTACAACTGCCAGGTGAATTCATTGAGGTTGATTATAAACATTCTAGCTGTATACAACTTTCTTTTTTTTGGAGGTGATTTGTACACTTGAATGCTTTTGTCACACTCTCATGTAAAGCCTAGCCATAATGAACGCCCAAAAGATTTTGTTTAAATATGGTGCTGTAGACACCCCAGTAGGAGCCATGTAGCTGCCATTGAGCTAAACAATAGCCAAGCTTTGTACCTTGTCCGAGTAAATAAACCGTAAAATGGTTTGTATATATTTAAATGTTTGCATGTTTTTCTTTATAACTGAAGAATAAATATAGAATGATCTGGGGGGTGTTTCACAAAGACTAAGATCGACTGTTTGCTCTCACCATTAACGGGCATTGGTCTCCTAAGGGACGTACAAAAAAAAATTATGGTCACAAATCCACAGAATTTACAATTTTTCTAATTTATTATTTGAGGAAAAAATATTATCTAAAGATAATGGTGAGAACAAACAGTGGCATGAACGGCCTGACACAGTTAAGTCCAACTTAAAGTTGATCTTAGTCTTTGTGAAACACTCCCCTGATCTGAAGCATTTAAGGGGCTATCTCACTGAGCGGCTAATGCTCGCGAATGTTTGTGTACAGTTGTATGTAGCAAATTTGGGGTTTTGGCAGGGTTCCTAAAAGGTCCCAAACATTCATAAATAGTGGCAAAGGATTGGCAAATAGTTGCTTTAATACAGTCACTAATAGTCGCCCCAAGTGCACGTACATGTAAGTCCATGTAGCACCATGTAGGCCCAACGGCAATGGTAACGGCTGACTTTACGTGGTAAATTGTTGAATGTTTAAAGATTTTTGTTCTACCTCGCAGTAAGCGACATATACATGTAGACCCCGTAATAGCCAGGTACATGACAACCTTGTACCATCATAACCTCGTCCCTCCCCGTATCAATTCTTTTGTAATAAATGGAAATTTGAAAAAGTGTTGAAAAATTGAAATCATATTTGCTTTCCGTCACTCTAGCTACGAGGTTTTATTATATGCGAGTGTGACTGCATCATGAAAGAGGGCAAGAATTAACCTCTACAGGATGCTGCACTTGAAAGCCTGGATTCTCCTCGTTTCCAGGAATCGGCTCGATGTTGTGGTTTTCATCCTGGTTCTCAAATTGGTTTGCTTCCCATCCGTCGTCGTCTTCCGAATTCTTGTTGTCGTAGCCTCCTTCCGAAGAGTCGTCATTACTACCAAAGTCCTTTAAATTGATAATAGGACATAGGAATCAATCACAGGTTGCAAGGTGGTAATATGATTGATTGATTGATTGATTGATTTTATTTCATTTCATATAACAATTGTTTGCACAATGAAGAACATAGTTGACAAAGTAAGATCAAAATTATGAAATGAAACAGGAACCTACTGGAAAGCATAGCTTGTTTTTGTAGGTTCCCAAGAATAGATATAATATGAACATTATTTTCATGATACGGCTTGTTGTACTTGAACTGAATTGAATAATTGTATTAAACTAACTATACCAATGCAAAGATGTAGAGAAGGAAACCGAACATGGTGACAGAAACAAAAATATTTTGAAAGGGCAACCCAACCCCTGTAATAAGTTCATTTGTATGAAACCAGAAAAATAAGATAAACAGAATGGTAAAAGTTTAAAATAAATCGGACCAATAATATAAAAGTTATGAATGTTTTAACTACATGTATATGAGATCACTATGTCTGTGTCAATCTCAAATTGGCAGTTTGTTCAGTGGATTGTGACATGCCGGTAGTCGCGGATAACTCTCCTGTTTTTGTTGTGTACAAAAATTATATATAAATAATTTCTGTTTTTTTCCTAAGTGCCTGCTCCCTTTAGGGTCACTACTCAAAATATATTATGAATAGCATATTATTATTAGGTCCTCTGCAGAGAAAAGACCCTCCTGGGTCATACATTTTGAAAAATAAATATTTATTCATTTTGTGCGTTGGGAAAAAATTGGAAGGTTGCCAGCCTCTACATCCACAGAGACATTACTGGATCAGCCAATTTGAGGAGCCCATACCTATAGTGATTACAAGTTTTTAGAAATTCACAACTTTGTCATATTTTGTCTGATTTGATTCAAACTTCCACCAGTTTACTTATCGGATTCTCTGCTTTCTTCAAGATTAGATTGCTGTCAATAGAAAGTCACTGTGAATATACAAATTATGCATACCGGTTCTCCACATAAGATGTCATGAAGTCGATGACTTTTGATTTTCAAAGCTTTAGATTTTGAGTTTTCAGAGGGCTGTTACACCCCTGACAGATACTAAAATAGCATACAATAGATATTATTGTAATCTATGGCTGAAGTTAGAAGCTTTTTGTTGAGAAAAAATTTATCTATTTCATTTTCCACTTCCAACAGGGCCTTTAAGGTGGTTAACCGTGACACGTGTGAACTGGGTTATGATGAGAAACAACAGTAAAGAAATAAACTTACCCCGGGAGGCCCCAGTCCTGGTCCGTTATCTTCGATATGACTACTTTCCTGTAAAACAACAAATCAAGTTGACACTGCATGTAAGTTTGCTGTCTTTGAATCCCTCTACATTGTGGCTCGTTTGCTACATGTACATGTGCAATTTTGTACACAACAATAAAGAACATTCAACGTAAGAATTGCTTTGTGCAACATATGGTTTTGCAGTATTACACATTTCCAGTCTTGATTAGCACCAATACCCTTTTAACACTTGAAGAAATAAATCTTGCTCTGGAAATAGTTGAAATTAAATCTTGAAGTCTATTTTGGTATATATATACTCACTATGAACATAATGGACAAAGAAAGCGGACAAAATATACAGTTCCTCAGGTAGACAAAGGAACATCCTTTCACTGCTATTATGTACAAATGTGTAGAACAGGTGAACATGCATGTGACACCTGTTCTACACATTTTTACATAATAGGAGTGAAGGGATGTTCCTTTGTCTACCTGAGGAACTGTATATTTTGTCCGCTTTCTTTGTCCATCATATTCATAGTGACTATATATCTATCCCATGGTAAATTCAATGTGGCACAGGGAGATTATTCCTGTGACATACATGTACATGTACCTGTATACCGGTATTCAAACAGGTGGGGGGGGGGGGGGGGGGGGGAGGTTCACAAGGACTAAAACCGACTTTAAGGTGGACTTAACTATGGCAGGCCATTCATGCCACTGTTTGCTCTCACTATTTACCGGCATTGGTCTCTCGAGGGACGTACAAATCATGGTCACAATTCTACAGAATTAACATTTTTTGATAATTCATTATTGAAGGAAAAAATATTATCTAAAGATCATTACGGTGAAAGCAAACGGTGGCATGAACAGCCTGCCATAGTTATTTAGTCCAACTTAAAGTCGATCTTAGTCTTTGTGAAACACTCCCAAGATCATCTACACTGTACATGTACATGTAGTTAATGAGAATTAATGAGGACATGTACATGTACACCTCTTAATGATTTTAATCCCTTTTTCTTGATCATTCTATGCGGTTGTATATTTATGATACTCTAATAATGCCCTTTTATTGTCAATGTCTTGAATATACATCTGGAAATGACATTGTAATTGTCAACTTTCGCAGTTGGGTCTTGCAGCCGCGAGGAAAGTATTTTAATAAACCATTTTATGTTAAGCCAGGGTTTATCACAATGTTTAAATAACATTCAATTGAAGCATTTAGTATATTGCTCATGAGTATTGTTTGCACAAGATTCAGTGCAAATAATAACTGTTCATGTGTTCACAAAGGTCACAGACATACAGGTAACAGGCAGAAATAACTTGGGTGAGCCCCAGTGCTAGTACACAACTACATGTAGTTCATGTTTTTGTGTGCGATAGTGAATATGCACCGACAGCACCGCATGCAGCACAAGTCACAATGAGCCGGATAATCAATGAGACTGGTCACGTTAATTATCCTGCTCATTGAGAAGAAATGCTCATTGTCAGAAATGATATCTAAGTCACATTACCATTTACCAACTTGTCAATTGGATTCCTGTAGAATATTCTCTGATACAATTGACTGATTTTCAACAAACCTTTTCTGATCTGTTCCTTTTCTGATCTGTTCCTTTTCTGATCTGTTCCTTTGAATTTTCTACTTTGTACCAACAGGTCCTATAGGAACTCAGTGTTATATGCTCTGGCTGCTAATGGTTAGGAGCCAGAGCATATACATGTACATGTATAACACTTGAGTTCCTATAGGAAATATATTTACTGGTGTTCAGATGGTGATAACTCAGCCAATAATTTGGACATTATTTTTGATGCTCTTTCGGAAAATGAAGAAAAAATTGAGAATTTCTAAAAATAGATTTATATGACGTCATAGCTTCGGTACTCTATAAGCAGAAGCTAAAGAAAAAAGTCACATGGAAAATAAGGAAAGAGAGAAAATTAGATGGAACTTCAACTGCGCGCAGTCGAAAAATGATGCCTCCGTCATAGAGCAATTTTACAAACCAAAACAGAAGAAATTTTTCAAATTCAAGTTCAATTGTAATCCACTAACAGGTTCTCAGAATATCGTGATTACAAGCAATTTCCCATATATACATGTACATACATGACCCTTTGATCTTTGACCTCATGACCCTAAAATCTACTCAGTTCATTGGCTCTGCAAGATGTCCTGAGTTAAATAGTAATCCATCTGTCAGTTCTAATGAAAATGCGTTCACAAGCTTTTTGCATACATAATGAGCCCATGACCTTTGACCTCATAACCCAAGAATATACTCAGTTCATTGGCTCTGAAAGATAAATACATGATCTAAGTTTGGCAGGAATTCATCAATCTGTTCTAATGATAATGCGATCTCAAGCTATTTTTGCATACATAATGAGCCCTGTGACCTTTGACCTCGTGACCCCAAAATCTAATCAGTTCATCGGCTCTGCAAGATACATACATGACCAAAGTTTGGCAGGAATCCATTAATCGCTTCTTCAGATAACGCGATCACGAGCCGTTTTTGCATACATGAGCCCTGCGACCTTTCACCTTAAAATCTAATCAGTTCATCAGCTCTGCAAGATACATACGTGACCAAAGTTTGGCAGGAATCCATTAATCGGTTCTACAGATAACGCGATCACGAGAACAGGACGTAGGTTCGGACGGACAACCCGAAAACATAATGCCTCCAGCTACTTCGTAATGGAGGCATAAAAATTAATATCAGGACTTACCTCTGAACCATCTTCTACTCGGTTCCAATCATTGGGCACATCGGGATTGATAGGGTCCTCAGCTGGATTCCCTGGGTTCCCAGCAGGAGTTTCATTGATAGGGACCTCAGCTTGATTCCCTGAGTTCCCGACAGGAATTTCATTGACAGGGACCTCAGCTTGATTCCCTAGGTTCCCGACAGGAATTTCATTGACAGGGACCTCAGCTTGATTCCCTGGGTTCCCGACAGGAATTTCATTGATAGGGACCTCAGCTTGATTCCCTGAGTTCCCGACAGGAATTTCATTGACAGGGACCTCAGCTTGATTCCCTAGGTTCCCGACAGGAATTTCATTGACAGGGACCTCAGCTTGATTCCCTGGGTTCCCGACAGGAATTTCATTGACAGGGACCTCAGCTTGATTCCCTAGGTTCCCGACAGGAATTTCATTGACAGGGACCTCAGCTTGATTCCCTGAGTTCCCGACAGGAATTTCGTTGACAGGGACCTCAGCTTGATTCCCTAGGTTCCCGACAGGAATTTCATTGACAGGGACCTCAGCTTGATTCCCTAGGTTCCCGACAGGAATTTCATTGACAGGGACCTCAGCTTGATTCCCTGGGTTCCCGACAGGAATTTCATTGATAGGGTCCTCAGTTTCATTCCCGGAGTTCCCGACAGGAATTTTATTGACAGGGACCTCAGCTTGATTCCCTAGGTTCCCGACAGGAATTTCATTGACAGGGACCTCAGCTTGATTCCCTGGGTTCCCGACAGGAATTTCATTGACAGGGACCTCAGCTTGATTCCCTAGGTTCCCGACAGGAATTTCATTGACAGGGACCTCAGCTTGATTCCCTAGGTTCCCGACAGGAATTTCATTGACAGGGACCCCAACTGGATTCTTAAGTTGGACATCTTCACCGGATGGAGGCTGCAATTCAGCATCTGGGGTTTCTTGCACACCTTTTTCCTGCTCGCCTGGGCTGCTTGCGGTCTTGGATTGATCTGATGCATTATCCTCTGCTGAAGAAATGAAGCAGAATACAAAATTACACACAAAATTGAAAACTGTGCTATAAAGATAAAAAAGAATTGACAGATTGCCTCCATGGGAATCTAATTTTCCTATGGAAAATTTAAAAAAGGCTCAGGTGAGCAAAACTGTTTTAGCTTGTCAAACTTGGAGTTCTGATATATCTCCATGTTGTAGTTGTCATTTCGAACTGGGAGAGATTCCTGCCTGGTTTGAAACCAAGTCAGCATGCTAGCACCCTTTGTTCCTAGATTACTACTTACATGTACTCACCGGGTCCCATGGATAGGATTCAAAGTCATGGGTCAGCTGGTCAACATAGGTCAATTATCTACTTGTTTTGTCATGAACCAGGAATATAAATGTGTGTACGCACTCCAATTTCAACATAGAAATTAGAAAAGGTAGCAACCCACAACCTGCAAGAGCCACTTTTAGAAAACCTTGCGATAATTTGTCTTCTTGGCTTGAAGTATCCACCAATTTTTTAAAACTAACACAGAGACTACTGTCCTCCATCAGTGAAATGAATACGGTAATTCTCCTTTAAAGGCATCGTTTAACAATGTTAAACTTGCGGAATAAGATTTGTGATACTTGATAACCTTTGTGTACAAGTTTCATGGAATTTGAACAAACACTTTTGAAATTATTCTAAAAATTCAAAATCTTGATGTTGATGCCACAAAAGTGTCCAAGTTTGTTGACCTGAAATGACCTTTGACCTTAATTTAGTGACCTGAAATTCTACTCACATGATTGAAGATACTTCATAACCCTTTAGTGTAAGTTTCATTGAATAAGAACTTACACTTTCAAAATTATATTAAAAATTCAAAAACTTAACCTGAGGTTAAGTTTTCGATGATGATGCCATTACATAGTCTAAGTCTGTTGACCTGAAATGACCTTTGACCTTGATTTTGTGACCTGAAAATCTGCTCACATGATTGGGAATACTTGATAACCCTTTAGTCTAAGTTTCATTGAATGAGAACTTATACTTTCAAAATTATACTAAATATTCAAAAACTTAACCTTAGGTTAAGTTTTTTATGTTGATGCTGCCGCAGGCGCCTACACTGTATGTCTCGCTTTTTGCTACGCAGGCGAGACAAAAATGAAGGACTTAAATAGGTCCTTTATGTTTTTGAAGTGACTGCTAATTGATTTTGAGCTAATACCAGCTAAAGAAATCAGAAGTTTAAAACTTTCGGGAAAAGAGTCGCGAATGGTACAATGAATCGTCTTCTTTCTCTAATCTAAGGAAACGTCTAAGCTTCCGCCCTTCGCACAGGAGGGGAAAAACTGAATTCAGATAAGGATAAAGAGTTGAGAACAGTACAACGAATCGTCTGCTTTCTCTCATAATTTACGGAAACGTCAAAACTTCCGTGCTTCACGCAGGAGGGGGGAAACTGAATTCAGATAAGGATAAAGAGTCGAGAACAGTACAACAAATTGTCTTCTTTCTCTCATAATTTAATGAAACGTCTAAGCGGGAGGCCCTTCACCCACCCCCTAGGGGAGTGCGGTTCGCGAGCTCTTTAAGTGATTCACTTGCTCACTAACGTCCCCGTAAAATAAGATACTAGTTACGCGCCTGCATTTATATATAGCTATGATGCTTCCTAAGTTGACAAAATAATTTGTATATTTATGTCGTCGAGGAAAAGGACCATTTACGCATACGCAAGTACTATAGATAGTTCATATGAAAAACAATTTAGCCTTCGGCTCCAGGTTTATAGGGTTAAATTTAGGACATTAAATTTTGTCGATAATTGGTGGCTAGTTTTGTCAGTAATCGGTGGCCTCTACAGTGTACACCCCCCCCCCCCCACACTGAAAAGGGTCTAGTGACGCCTCTGCCTGGAGGGATAATACAAATTACCTTGTGTACCTGGCGCTTGTGGTTCATTGGGTTCTCCAGGAGTGTCCAGTGTCGCTTTCTGGCTTTCTAAAATAGGACCTAAAAAGAAAGAGGGAAAAAATTGAAGTTTTTAAGAGCTGCATCAGCATGTTTCAGTATGCTTAGATTAGGCGCTCAGTTATGAAATCATGTTCAACAGTTGGCACCAAAAACCTACCAAAAAAAACCACCTAAATGTACACGTACATGTACATGTATCAACCTACATCATCCAAAAAAAAATCAAACATTGTGAAAAATAATTAATAGAAATGAATATAATAATAGTCGTACTCTTTAAATAACCATGCAAAACTTGTATAGAATATTCCTCATGGTTCAGATCATCTACGGTACATGTAGTTTAACATTCTTTGGAAAACTAAAAGGAAAATTGTGCGATGCTTATTTTCTGGGAAAATGCAAAATTATTAATCATTTCAAGTTGCACATTTCCATATAACCCTTCACTCCAATGGTTCGAAACCCCAGTCTGCCACATTGTTTAGTGTGTGTGTGTGGTCTATACTGTATGACAAACGCCGACTGTGGCAGTCGATTGTTTGTTCCATTAGTTGACTCGGGCCTACATATACGTACATAACTGAACCGTATTTGCCGGCGATAAGGCTGCAGCGCCGCATAGGCCGCACCCCCGATTTCGACATTAAAAAGCTATTTTAAAAAATTTGTCGGAGGGATTCGAACTCTTGCGGTACAAATGTAGATTGGGACCCGAAACTACCGCCTTAGACCGCTCGGCTATCCCGACTCTGATGCTTTTCCATGCAGCTTTTTCTTGTGTATTGCATTGCACCATAGCTTAGTTCGCGAGATCTGAGGATTGAGCGTGCTTTAGCTGTGGCAAAAACTTAGATCTAGATCTACAGTAGAGTTTGGTTGGTAAGTTATGACTTTTATTTACGAGATTGACAAAACTTTGCCCTTCATTTAAAAAATAAAACACATAATTGTCGGTAAGACATGTGTTATTCTAGACAGTTATTCTAGAAATGTTCATCACCTTTTATTGTTGTCCAATATGTACAAATTTGTGTTTTTGCCTTGCGATCTTTTTTTTTCTTCCTCTTCAGCCGCAAAGGCCGCACCCGACTTTTTGATATTTTCTCTTCCAAAAATACTGCGGCCTTTACGCCGGCAAATACGGTATGCAAAATGAAAATAAAATAAATTGATTAGAAGATTCAGGCTACATTAATAGCCCATGTCACATTTTTGTGCCCTTTTATTGTGAACATGCCCAAATTAAAATCTATACAGTCAGGTACATGTACAACTGTACATGACACAGCATTTTCAATATCGGCATGCTAAAGCATACATGTACATGTACGGTATGTATGTACAGTGTACATGTAGTATACATGCAAATGATAGACATTAATTAGCATAATCTAGGTCAGCGGTCAACTTCCCTCACTTGTACACAACCAGCACAGACAGTAAAGTAAAAGGACAGACAGACAGACAGACAGACAGTAAAAGGATGAACTGAATTTCTTGGGTGTGGATCGAGTGAGCTCGTCAGTTGTATGAATTTAGTGCTGAGAGCCTGAGACATCGCATGTACATGTACATGTACATAGCATTACTAGCCTGAACTGTACATTGTCTGTCTGTACAATCACTTATGAGAAGGTACCCTCCTCTTTGAGGAGGTGCAAAGGTGAGGGTATGTATTTGACCCATGTACGACCTTGCTTCTAAAGAAACGATACAACTTATTAATATTTATGAACAGCAAGACAACTACATGTACATGTAAACAACCTGTATAATGCTCTCAAATTGGCTTATATAGCCTTAGATGACAAGACAAAGCACTATCTTGACTTTCTCTTTAATTAAAAAAACAACAACATACAATTCCTACATGTACATGTATACATGTACATGTATGTACATTGTTTAGGAGGCAAAGACCCCCACGACTAAAATAGACTCTCTTCTCAATTTTCACCCTGAGCTTTTCAAACTTAAGCGATTTGATATTGCTCTAACGTGTATGTGCCTGGCACAATGCACCATAACTCAGGCAAAAGGGGAAAAATATAATACTGCACTCTCCTTAATCTTTTTAAATACAAAATCTGAATAAAAATTAAAACACCCAAATTGAATAAATTTCATGTAGGTACATTGTACATGTACATGTACATGTACCTGGATCTTGGTCTACTGAGAGTCTATAAAGTCAAGACCAAGAAAAATACATGCGGTGCATATTACAGGTACTGGTACATTTTTTATACATGTACGTGAAAATGCATGTTTTCTTGTTGCCTACATTTACATGTACAAAATGTACCTTTATAGTGCACCAAATTAATCGCTATTACTAAGGTGTCTGATCGCGTGTCTGATTGCGCACTCGGTCTTGTGCGCTAAAACCCTTCCCAAAGTATTGTACACATTCCTATGCAGTCTACATGCAGCTCATGCAAAATTGGTCAGTTTTTATTATGAATTGTGATTAAAACCTTTAACACTTGTGATCCTGAAGGCGATGCACAACAAATGAGGTGTCATATAAAAGAGCAGGTTTCGCTCCATATGCCCAGAAAAGGTCAGTTCGGAACTCTAAAATTATCTTGATCAAAACGGCAATTAAATAATTGTTTCCATCGTAGCTCTGAGTTTTCCCACTTTCATCAACCGAACCCTAAGGGATAAGTAGTTCCAAACGTATATAGTTATGCGCTTATTGCTCACTAGCCCCAAGGGGTCTCATGTGATCGCAGTTTGAAAATATCCCTCTCCCCTCCCTTTTTGAATCAGCAAAATGGGGAGGTGTGACTCTGCTCAGCTAAAATCCATCGTGACAGCGTGTAGAATCTGCACCCTACATATATATTTAACGCTCGATAGCTAACAGGACGTTCAGCCGGGTGGAGCAAACTTTGTGCGTGCTCCCATGTTGCAAGCCTTCGTACACACTATACGCTGCACAGCCTTGAATGCGTGTGTGCAGTCTGATCGCGTGTGTGTATTCATTCAATGAATGGACTCGCATGCAGCGGCTGCACAACGGAGGAGTTTGACGATTCCGCTCAAGTAGCGCCGCAGCTAAGCAACAGGCGCAGGCTTTGACTATCGCACGACGCAGATAGTCGGGCTGCACAGCTATTGAGCAAACTGACTATAACTTGGTGTGTACCACTTTTTCATCCATGTATGCCTAGGGCTAGGGTCTACATGTTTTCTTCTTAAGTTATTCACCTTCTATCGTAGCAAGGAAAGCGTAGGCCTGGCAGATCGAGTTAAGCTCACGCTGGTCACAGTCCATTGACTTCCACAGATGTGAACAAGTAGAAGGATCCAATGGCAATGCTACTTGCACTCCGGCCGCCTGTCTTATATAGTAGGTCTCCGACCGACTGAGTGTGATTGACTGTCCCTGTGGTGGAGGTGCAGTCATTTCTGCACAGAATTTCTGTTCATCCATGACAGTTTGTGAATGTTGGAGAAAAGACTTCATCATTTCCGTGTTGAATTCGTTAACATTGTTTTGCATTGCTTTCGACACCTGACACATATCATGAATTCTGAATGCGAACAACATGCACAAATTGGATCTAGGCCTAGGCCTATTTGGGTTCTGAGACGACTCCGGAGGACACGCTTCTCGAAAGATGCTGGGCTGCCCCGCCGAAGTAGCGGGGTCGGTACTCGTATCGAAAAGGACATTCAACGTTGGGATGCAGGATTGAAGATATTTTTCTGTGCGTTCATAATTGTCGAAAAATTGCTCCTGACTGACTGGAGCTGAGTTCGTAGATGAAATGAGAACCAGAGAGAACAGGAAAGCACATGACATTGCGATGTAAGCCATGTTTCCAGATACAACTTCTAAGTTTCGCCGGGAATTGGTTGTTCCTTTTCGTCACGTCAGATACACATCATGCCGTAAATATACGTGGAAGTAAAGTGGTTACAGATTTATGTGCACCGTATGGCGTACCGGCCAAAGAGCATTCGACCACTTAACTCGTACTTGTCGATCGTTGGAAGTGGCCTAGGCATATTTGGCACGCCGTAATACGCAACTCAGCAACATGGAAGGGTCGAAAATTGAACAATGCTTGAATTCGTCTGGCCGACGTGTTTAGTATCATGCTCGACTCGAATTTACCTGTAGATTTATGAGGGTACGGTGGGTATGGGGGGGGGGGGGGGGGGGGGACTTAAATGGCGCTTAGTCTTTACCACTAGCTGTATAGATAGGGTCGACCTATAGAGGGGCAGGAAAGGCGGAGAAACAAAAAGAAATGAAATGAGAAGGAAGTGGGAAAGGATGAGAAAAGGAGATGATGGGATCCAGCCATCCAGCCCGCACAATCACCTCCATTTAGGTGACATTTACAAAGCAAAACAAGTAGAGGTCTCGATCGATATATATATAAATTATAATCTCCCGTAACCCGTAACGATGCCATTCAATGGCCCCTCAAAGGATGGAACACATGTTACACTTATCAGTGGCGGATCCAGGAATTTCTTGGGGGGCACAAAATCGCATTGGGTGAATTATATGAAAAACGATGGAGCGAAGCGACAGCGGCAAGGCGTCAGCGGCGAGGGAGCGACCGGGAGCGACCAAGCAGGGTGGGTCTGGGAGCCAGAACCGGAACCCCCTCCAAGAGTAGGAAGCATTTGCCACTTTAGAACCACATTGAGCGCATTTCCAGGCACTTCCTGGAGTAATATGACGTAAAATTACTTTTTCCTTCCCCCTCGAAGGAGGGATCTTTTGCAATTTGAGAACCACATTTGGCGCATTATAATGTCCACCGGCACTTCCTGGAAGAAAAAAAACGAGGCCTTCTGATGGTTAGAAGTTAGAAAAAAGTGATCCGTCACGTCGCGAGAGTTGTATAATTATTATGCTTCGTTGTTGCACAAAGACGAGTAGGCCTACTTGCACAAATTATCTCGAGTGTATAAACTATTTTGTTATCAGGGGCGTCGCTAAACCTTTTCAGTGGGGGTGTAGATGCCAACGATTACCGACAAAACTAGCCACCAATTATCGATAAATATATTAAAGCCAATGTCCCAATGTCTACAAATTTAACCCTATAAACCCGGCCGGGGCCGGGAACTAAGATATTTTTCAGTTCCCCCTCTCGCCAGGGGCGTCGCCAAAGGAGGGTGTGGGGTGCGACGCCCCTCCACCTGTCAGGATATTGTCGGTAAAATTGCGCTGCCGTCGGGAAAAAAAGAGAAAAGGGGGAGGGAAAAAAGAGAGGGAAAGGGAAAGAAAAGAAAAAAGAAAAGGTAAAGAAAGGGAAGAAAAGAGAAAGGAAAGAAAGAGAAAAAAATAAAAAGAGGGAGAAGAGGAAAGAAAGGAAAAGAAAGAAAAGGAAGAAAAGGAAAAACAAAAGAAAAAAGAGAAAAGGGAAACAAAAGAAACGGGGGTGAAGAGAGGAGAGAGGGGGGAGGTAAGAGCCTGAGAAAGGAGGAGTGGGAGTAGAAGAAGGGGGGGGGGGGGGTTGTGGGTGGAGTCGTCTCGTCAAGGAAGCAAGAAAGACATGGGTAAATATGTTGCTTTGTCGGGTCAGCTGTGTCGGTATTCTTGCTCGATCCTCGTGTACTATATCAACGCAGAAGTTTGAAGTCGGTGAGATGTACATTGTCGGTCGGCCGAACTGTGACTTTTTATCCGCTGTGACGACTTCGAGAGTGACTACAACTACAATACTTGTATTTTCTCGAAGTTTCACTCTCCTATAATATCAGCTAAAGAAATCAGAGCTTTAAAATTTCGGGGAAACTAATTCAAACAAGGATTAAGAGTCTACAACGGTACGACGAATCGTCTTCCTTTCTCTATATTTTGATGATAAACCAAAGTTTCCGCGCTTCGCGCGGGTGGGAAAAACTTTATTTAGACGAGTCGAGAATGGTACAACGAATCGTCTGCTTTCTCTAATAATTTAAGGAAACGTCAAAGCTTCCGCGCTTCGCGCTAAAGGAGGAAACTGAATTCAGACAATTAGGGCTTATTAAGAGTCGAAAACGGTACGACGAATCGTCTTCCTTTCTCTATATTTTGATGAAACCTGAATTCAGATACGGATTAAGAGTCGAGAACAGTAGGCCGACACCGAAACGTCTGCTTTTTCTAATAATTTAATGATACGTCAAAGCTTCCGCGCTTTGCGTGGGAGGGGGAGAACCTGAATTCAGACAAGGATTAAGAGTCGAGCACTGTTCAACGAATCGTCTACTTTCTCTTAAAAATTTAATGAAACGTCAAAGCTTCCGCGCTTTGCGCGAGAGGGGGAGAAACTGAATTCAGACAAGGATTATAACGTCGAGAACGGTACAGCAAATCGTCTACATTTTATAATAATTTAGTGAAATGTCAAAGCTTTCGCGCTTTGCGCGGGAGGGGGGGGGGGGGGTAAATTCATTTAGACAAGGATTAACAGTCGAGATCGGTACAATAAATCGTCTTCTTTTCCTAATAATTTAAGGAAACGTCTAAGCTTCCACGCTTCGTGCGGGAGGCCTAACACCGACACCCCCTAATGAGCGCGCTTCGCGCGCTCTTTAAGTGATTCGCTTGCTCACTACCGCCCCTCCCTAAAATAAGATCCTAGCTCCGCACCTGCATTAAAATATATATAGCTTTGATGTTGAATAAGTTGACGAAATAATTCGTATAATCGTCGAGGAAAATGATCATTTGCGCATACGCAATTACTAGATAGTCCATAGGAAAAACAATTTAGCCTTTGGGGTTAAATTTGTAGATATTGGGACATTTAATTTTGTCGGTAATTGGTGGCAAGTTTTGTCGGTAATCGTTGGCATCTACACCCCCCCCCCCACTAAAAAAAGGTCTAGCGACGCCCCTGCCTCTCGCGCAAAGCGTGGAAGCTTTGACACTTCATCGAATTATTAGAGAAAGAAGACGATTCGTTGTACCGTACGTTCCCGACTCCTAATTCTTGTTTCGCCCCTCCCGCGCGAAGCGTAGAAACTCTGAAGTTTTATTAAATCATTAGAGAAAGAAGACGATTCGTTATACTGTTTTCGACTCTTAATCCTTGTCTGAATTCAGTTTTCCCACTCCCGCGCGAAGCTTTGACGTTTCATCAAATTATTACTTTAAATCCTTGTCTGAAGCGAAGCGCGGAAGCTTTTACGTTTCAATAAATTATTAAAGAAAGAAGACGATTCGTTGTACTGTTTTCGTTTCTTAATCCTAGTCTGAATTGAGTTGCCCCTCCCGCACGAAGCTTTGACATTTCATCAAATTATTACTTGAAGCTTTGACGTTTCAATAAATTATTAAAGAAAGAAGACGATTCGTTGTACTGTTTTCATTTCTTAATCCTAGTCTGAATTCAGTTGCCCCTCCCGCACGAAGCTTTGACGTTTCATTAAATTATTAGAGAAAGAAGACGATTCGATGTACCGTTCTCTACTCTTAATCCTTGCCTGAATTCAGTTTCCCCCTCCTGCGCGAAGCGCGAAAAGTTTGACGGATGACGACACCTAGCTCCCCCACCTGTCAGGATATTGTCGGTAAAATTACGCTGCTGTCGTAAAAAATGAGAAAAGGGGGAGGGGGAAAATGATTCGTTGTACCGACTTTTAATCATTGTCTGAATTTTCAAAAATGTTACTTGCCCGATAAAAAGTCAGTTCGTAGGGGGAAAAAAATTGCCAGCAGACCGACAAAATACCTGTACATCTTGCCGACTTCAAACATCTGCATTGATATAGCACACGAGGATCGAGCAAGAATACCGACACAGCGGACCCAACACAGCGACATAATCTATACTTATCTTTCTTGCCCCTCGACGTGGTGACTCCACCCAACATCTTGCTCTCTTTCAACCCCTCCCCCGTTTCACTTGTTTCCCTTTTCTCTTCGTTTTTTCCTTTTCTTCTTTTCTTTCTTTTCTCTCGTTCCTCTCCTTCCTCTTTTTCTTTTTGTCTTTCTTTCTTCTCTTCTCTTTCCTTTCTTTTCCTTTTCTTTTTTCTTTTCTTTCCCTTTTCCTCTCATTTTTCCCCTCCCCTTTTCTCATTTTTACCGACAGCAGCGTAATTTTACCGACAATATCCTGCCAGAGGTGGGGGTGACGCACCCCACCCCCTTTAGCGACGCCCCTGTTTCCCCATTATTCCTTTATAAGAAATGCAATTCCTCATACTCTCCCACTTACCTTCTAATATAGATATATGAATTTTCTTTTTTGTATTTTTACCACAAAGATGATATTTCAGTGTCTGATAATTTAATTTATTATTTGTGTCCAAGAAAGTGATGAATTAGTTGTCAACTTTGTCGAATTTTGCCATTTTTGCCAATTTGACCATTTCTAGCAGGTTTTGTTGGTAATTTTGCGATTTCAAAAAAATGGTATAAAATCACAACGCATGCATTGACCGATTTCAATTCTGTTTTTTTGTTTTTTGAAGCTTTCATAAAGCTTGATCATTTGCAGTCATCAAATAACATGAGTTTGTTGTACTTATTTTTGGTGTGCTATACCTACTTCTATTGTTGTTTAATTCTCTTTATTTTTTTCTCCTTTCTCCTTTAACTCACAAAAATTCTTTCTTTCCCCCCTTTTCTCATTTTTGTTGTTGTTGTTGTTCTTCTGGTGCTTTTTCAATTGTGTGTGGGAGGTGGGGGGGGGCTACACGCCTGGCAAGAGGGACCCCTTATTATGCACACTTCAAAATTGCGTGCCCCCGCCCCTTTCCTGGTAAAAAAAAAAATTCTTCTAATATCATCCCCTTTCTTTCTTTCCCCTTTTCATTATTCTCCTTTTCCCCCTTTTTGCTCCTCCGTCTTTCCCACTTTCTTCCTTTTCTCCCCTCTCTCTTCCCCTTTCTTCCTTTCCCCCTCCTTTTTCTCCTCTCCTCTTTTCTTTCCTCCCTCTTTTCTTCTTCTTTCTCTCTTCTTTTTTCTTTCCTTTTCCCCTCCTTTTTCTTTCCCCCCTTCCCACTCCCCCACTTTTTTTTTTACCTGAATCCACCACTGCTTATAATGATACAAAACAAAGAAAATACTCGAAGATGTTTAAATAGGACCCCCAAAACACAAACGATGTTTTTTATTTGAATTACACAAAAGGGTTTGCACATGTTAAGCAAATTAGTTTAGGCCTATAGGCCCCGTTGTTTTCATCAAAGCAAAACTTAATGTCAGCTGTCTTTCTTTTTTCTTTTATCACTTAATGCGTTTGCCACCAGTGTAGTATGGGTATAGAGAAAGCGGGAGAGAGAAGGAGACGGAGAGAGATCGAGAGAAGGAGAGAAAGAGAGAGCGAGAAGTTGGTAAAAAAAAATAAAAAAACACCCATTAAAAAAAAACATGCTCGGGCATTGACTAATCTACGTAATATTTCTGAATTATCCATTAACAACAGAAATTGTTTACAAAACGAAGCAAAGTATTGAAGCAGTCAAGCGGAGTGGTCTTGTTGATAAGTATGCGCCTCATAATAAAGTAAACATTTTAATGCTATAATAAGATTGTATACATTAATTGATTGATACACACTGAACATTAACAAAATAATAGTAATAGATTAATTTTTTTCCGAGTCATGCACAGCAGTTGATTTTTTGACGCATAAATATTATTATATACGCGAACATGACGAAGAATAGTATCAGTCTTAAAATCCATATAGGCCTGATTTCTGATAGGTAGGCGACGTTTGGGGAAAATATGAACCTAGCATGGGAGTAATGATCTGAGAGAGAGAGAGAGAGAGAGAGAGAGAGAGAGAGAGAGAGAGAGAGAGAGAGAGAGATGGGGGGGGGGGGGGCGAAAGGGCAGCGGGAGAATATTATGTGTTTTTTATTTTAATATGTGATATCAAGCGTTATACCATATGCACGGAGTTATTATTATATATTATGAACACATTTGTAATTGATAGGATTAGCCATAAAGGAGTCCTTTACGATATTGATGTTAAAGGACAATCCAACCTATTGCAGTAAGTTCATTTGAATAAAACTTAAAAGCAGAAGAAAAAAAATCAGATAAAATGAGTTTTGTACAAGTTTGCAATAAATCGTACCAATAATTAAAAAGTTATGTATATTTGAAATATGAGATTACTATACATACAGCTATGTGAATCTCAAATTCACAATTTTGTGATTGTGACCGTAGTGATAGATTTAACATTACAGGTTAACAATTAATACAGGTCCTCTAAAAAAACAAGACTATCCCGAGTCTTACATTTTTGAAAAATCGAAAAATCTGTCATTTTGTGTGTTGGAACAAATAGCCGGAAAGGTGTCCGCCACTACGTCACAGAGACATTTAATTGTGATCAATGCAGCCAATTTGAAGAGCCCATATATACCATGCAACTTGCAAATATTCACAACTCTCTCATTTTTGGTCCGATTTCATTAAAATTATTGTCACCAGTATGCTTTTTCCTATTTTTATTTAGTTTGCTATCAAGGTTAGATTCTTCTTTTTTTAATTGAAAGGCATAACCGGCATTAGCCTACATCAGATCATAATAATAATACTATTCCGCGTGTATATAGAGCGCTTAATCCCGGTCGGTCATAGGATTCAGGCTACATGCACAATGTATGCACATTCTCCACTCCCTGGGGAACATAATGCATTCCAGCAATGGCGCCATTACAAACACTCATTCATTTTTAGACATCCTCAAAATCTAGGCGTCAACTGGGGCGTCAATCATAAGATCTAAAAGTGTTTATTCAGTTTTGTTGGGGGGGGGGGGGGGGGGATTAGGTATCTTCGGATAAGTAAACATTTATATATCATTTTCGGAATCGTGAACCTTCGGATATCGGAGAAACGCATAAATAGATCGGCATTGTGCCCAAGTGACGTCATTTACGTAGTGACAAGAATTTGTGACACATCCGAAGAAACGCCATATTATTGCGCCATAGTATATTTTCTGAAGTTCGAAAGTAAGTGAAAATGCAGATGTATAAAATCAGATTATTTTTTCTACAACATTGTTCTACAAGTTTTACTTTAGAAGATGTATATCTAACTTGGTTGATATTCTTTGTAGCGCGGCTCTTCTCCAACAATTCTACTACAGTCCCATCTGTTGTGAATTGTGTGCGTGCAATGAATTAATAAAATGGCCGATGTCTTCGACAAGGCCATGATAGATTTGTTGATTTCCAAAACCATTGTCCACAACATTTTGCAAATAGGTCAGCTTTGGTACCTTATCACGAGCGATTGTATGATACTTAATGGTGTTGAGTGAATTTCGTGTTGTTAATTCTAGACCTAGGTCAAATTCTGTTGGGCCTTCTAAAAAGGCTTTTGCTTGCACTTTTTCAATTTCAGTTTCACTTTTAATTGAGAATGTGTAATTTAAACAAAATTAAGATGCGTCTATTTTCTATTGAGTATTGTCTAGTGATTCTATCAAGCACCACTGTACAAAAATCATTTCAATTCACTAAAATTCTATACTTTAGTAACAATTGATGACACATTAATAGCAGTAAAATTTAGTAAAATACAATGAACATGTTAAATTCAATTTGGTGATGTTGGAAAAAATACTTTGAACATTGATTTGGAAATTTATCATCAATCCTGGCATGAAGAACTTTGCGCTTTGAGAGCTGTACAGCGAGTTTACGTGCTCTCATTGGCCGATCCGCTCGAGCGGCTTCAAATTTAAGCGAGAGAGGGCCTGCTTAACTTAAGCGCAATTTAAGTTCAATGGAAATGTCATTACGTAATATTACATCACACCACAGAGATTTTGACATGTCATGCTTTAAACAGGTGATGCACTTCACACATAACTGACACACACACGGCATTGCACACACTTAAAATAGAAAAATCAACAGACATTTAAGAATAAATTTCCAGTTTGTTCAAAACTTTAAAAATAGCTACGTAAGACTTAAACTTAAGTGAAATACTTAAAATTTTAAGGATGCTGAAAACAATCGTAAAAATAGAGGGTTTGACTGAAATATCATAATTTTGGTATTGAATGAAATGGAAAATTGCAAGCTTGCTCCTTGCACAAATATCTTATAACATTGAGTGATTGGGAAGTTGGGAACCAGCGATAGCCAATATAAAAGGCCCTTGTCGGCGCCAATTTACTAAAAATGAGACTACGATTCACAGAGATTGGATAAATGTTCTGCGCATGCGCTAAATGTAAGCTAAAGTTTTACATGCCTGGTGAAGTGCACTCCTAGTCCTACAATGCAAGGGGTCTAACCGTAAAAGGTACGGACCTCATAGTCATGTACATGAATTAGCGCTAAAAAGTATAAAATTTTCACACATGTCCTGCACATGCATGAACAAAATAAAAAGTATTGTTTTTAACACTTACTTTTAGATATGACACTTCTAAATCACAATGTTACCGTAAATGACTAGGTAATATTATAGATCAGTTCTGGGAGCTGGGAGTCCAGCCGATTCACATCTCAAAATCATGTAGAAAAATGGAAGGAACCGCCGCCGTTATTCCTATCGTAGCCTGTTTCGCTAGCGTGGCCTGTTTCACTAGCATTTGCAGATTGTCTAGTTTCAGCTTACGAACGACCAAAACAAAATCAACTTCCCAAAATTTGGTCCCTATGGTTCCCTTTAGGTTTTTACATACATCTACATGTACAGTATGCGCAACGTGGTAAGGTATGGATAGATTTTTTATTTAATGACCACAGAGATTCAGAATATGAAGTGGCTTCTGTTCGTGGCTTCTTTGCCTTGATTAACAATACACTAGATATCCGTTTTAATATTTTTCCAACTTGAATTGATTGTATTTTATTACTATTTAAGTGTCATTGATTGTCACCAAAGTGCATATTTTGAGTGATTTCTGGTGAGTTTTGTACAGTGGTGTTTGAATTTGAGTACCAATAGAGGGTGTCTTAAAATGTTTTCCATCACACAAAGTATACTAATACAGATTCTGTTTGGATGGGGATGTGCGGCTGAAGTCTCCAAACCTTTTTTAAAGGTCATTTTGCCATTAAAGATAAGCTTGAGTTCTGGTAAAGAGATGGAAGATAAATTCTCACAGAATCCAACGAAACTTACACTGAATGTTCAAGATTACAAATAAACGACATGCGCCAAACAATTTTGGTAGAAAATGTATAGTGGCTGGGTAAAGAACATAGAAACTAGAGTTATAAGGAAATCCGCATAAGTAAGCCCGACGCCATGTGCTTAACACAGGTCCTTATGTGCAAATGGAAGTTGCGGATTTTATTGAAGATGATGCTCAGTAAGTTTTTGTGCATTTCTTTTTATTTCACTGGTTCAAACAACCAATCTCCTGCAGGATGAACAATCCAGAATTAATCATAACAATTTTCTCTCAAAATATTATTTCCATACCAGAGCTCACGATAAGATTTAAACGGTACACATTATAAGGGGCTTAAAAAAGTGAAATGATTTCAATTATTTAGGAGCTGGGATTTGCACTTATGTGAAAAAATGGATGAGAGTTACTTAGGGTCTTTTATAGGGACCTTCCAACACAAAATCATAGTACCATAATACCTTAGGGTCATTCCATGTCAAATCACCCAATGGTTTTAACCCGACCATTTTTGATTTTGATGAAACTTAGTGTACTTGTTGAGTTGATCTCACAGCACCAAATCCCAAATTTTAGGTCAATTGGGTGAGGGGTTTGGGAGATACGGCCCACCAAATTTTGAGATTTTTTCAAAAATGGGGGTGGCGGGCCTACGTTTGAACCCTTGTATCTCGGGACCTAATGGGTCAATCTTCACAAAATTTGTATTGTTGGAAAGGGTATTCAATAAGGATTCTAAATCTACCACCATTTTGAAAATTCGTACATGTTGGGGTACTTTGACCTCTTGACCTAAGATTTGACCTTGAAATTGACCTTGTGGATCACGTGACCTTGACAACATTTTTCATGAAATGTAATCTCTGACATGTTCACTAAAACATATAAAAGTTTCAGAGATATAATATTTTTGGTTTAGGAGCAATAAGGATTGAAAGTATCCATACTTACAGATATTCACAATAAACCCTATTATAATGTATACAATACATGCAATATGCACAGTACAACATACATCTTCCACATGCTTTTTTGTTCTAGTCATATCCATTCTAAATGTCAGCAGTACTTAAATAGAAATAAAATGACAAGTTCATATAGGCCTAAAGGGTTAACAGGATGTATGGCTTTAGGCCTCTGAGTCTGTTCTAGGATAATTACCCCCTGGAAAATTAACCCCCAGGAAATGTCCCCCCCCCCCCGAGTACCCCAACATGTACGAATTTTCAAAATGGCGGCAGATTTGGAATCCTTATTGAATACCCTTTCAAACAATACAAATTTTGTGAAGATTGACCCATTAGGTCCCGAAATACAAGGGTTCAAAGGTAGGCCCGCCACCCCCATTTTTGAAAAAATCTCAAAATTTGGTGGGCCGTATCTTTCAAGCCCCTCACCCAATTGACCTAAAATTTGGGATTTGGTGCTGTGAGATCACACTCAACAAGTACACTAAGTTTCATCAAAATCAAAAATGGTCGGGTTAAGATTTTCAGATTTTTTGGGTGATTTGACATGGAATGACCCCTTATATTTAAAGATTTTTGTTGCATTAAAGTTATAAAGTAACATATTAAAAGGGGGTGGGGGCACTTTTTTGTAACCTTTAAAGGACTTTATATGACCTCCTGAAAATAAATGCACTTCTTTTGATGATGATTACTAAAGGAGATCGCTATAAACTTCAAATAATTGACAACAAATTACTTCTTTAATTATGTTGAGTGAATGAATTTTGTATTATGTATATTTTTTTTTCAGGGGGGGGGGGATCCCTAAGGATCATGCAATTTACAAATGACTTATTTGATGATGCATTTAATATGCATGATTTCCTGCATGGCTTGTTAAATCAATAGTGATGTCAAGAACTTTTATATATCGACAAGTCCCTATTCTTCATTCAAAATAAATCCTTTTCTTCCGCAGATGCCAAACATCAAGTTACAGAGTTCCGATGGGGAGGTTTTTGAGGTGGATGTAGAAGTCGCTAGGCAGTCGGTTATCATCAAAACCATGCTCGAAGGTGAGTTAAAGGAGAATTACATGTAGTTCTTTCATAGAAAGCAGTTTTAGTAAGAGGAGAAACAGACTAAGTGTTAACAAAGTTAAACCAAGGATAAGGAAGTTATGATTTGATTTTTTTTTTAAAGCTCTAACCCCCAGGATATGAAGGATGTGATCTTTGACATCATATGTGCGATTTCATTCATATGGAAATATTTTACTCTTTAACTCTGACTCTGTTGATGATGATGATGATATTGATGATGATGATGATGATGATGACGATGGTGATGATGATGGTGCTGATGATGATGATGATGATGATATTGATGATGATGATGATGATGATGGTGATGATGATGATGATGATGATCGATGATGATGATGATGATGATGATGATGATGATATTGATGATGATGATGGTGATGATGATGATGATGATGATGATCGATGATGATAGATGATGATGATGATGATGATGATGATGATGATGATATTGATGATGATGACGGTGATGATGATGATGATGATGATGGTGATGATGATGATGATCGATGATGATGATGATGATGATGATGATGATGGTGATGATGATGATGATCGATGATGATGATGATGATGATGATGATGATGATGATGATATTGATGATGATGATAATGATGATGGTGATGATGATGATGATGATCGATGATGATGTTGATGATCGATGATGATGATGATTGAGGAGGAGGATGGCTTCTTGTATAGCGGGTGGTGTCTGCCTTTGCAGGGCTTGTGGCACCTGCTCTACAATGTCTCAAAAATTTAACGTTCTTTGTCAGTGTTTCAAATTAAGATTATTTTCAAGTTTGTTGGCGTAATCATTCTTGAGATAGTGTTGGAACAGGATAGTCTTCAGGGCTGACAAGAGCGTTGACATAGACTCAGCGCCCTTAATAGATTCCACAGTTTAAGTCCAGAGAATTAGAAGGCCATGTCTGCTCAAGAAGAGAGAAACCTGTTATTGTGTGTGGTTATATTATTTTCAATGTCTGTTATGCAAGTACAAGTATAGAAAGTGTGCATGTAGAATAAAGTGAAACATGTAATTTTTACTCTATGAATTGCAGAGTTTTTCTTTCTGCTGCTTGTAAAGTTTGTAACTGATTTAACACGATTTTATTTTTAATGCAGTTCTACAAATCTGCGATTAACATGTCTGCACTACATTTTGAAAAATATTTTTTTCTTCTCCCTTCTCTTCCTCTATCTTTCTACTTCTTTCTCCCTTCCCCTATGTCTTTGTCTATCTGCCTAACTCTATTCTTACCGTACTCTCTTCATTCTATCACCTGTTTTTTCTCTCTTCCTCTTCCTCTCTGTCTCTCTCTCTCTGTCTCTCTCTGTCTCTCTCTGTCTCTCCCTCTCCCTCCTTCTCTCACTCTCACTCACTCTCTCTCCATCTCTCAATCCGTTGTACAGACCTCGGCATGGATGAGGAGGACGACGATGCCATCCCTCTCCCCAACGTCAACTCCACCATCCTCAAGAAAGTGCTCCAGTGGTGCCACTACCACAAGGACGACCCCCCTCCACCAGAAGACGATGAGAACAGAGAGAAGAGGACCGACGATATCTGCGCCCATGACCAGGAGTTTCTTAAGGTGGACCAGGGCACCCTCTTTGAGCTTATTCTGGTGAGTTTCTGAATTTATTGAGTTCTTTACTTTACTTGTTTCAATATTTCACCTAATTAAAGATGAAGTTGAGTTCTGGTCTTGCGATTGCATTGTGAAAGAAAAGGTGTGGAATGGATCAGAAAAAGTTGATCATGTAGCATGTACAAATGTAAGTACTGGTGTGTACTGCAAGGTCCTGGAGCCAACAAAATCATAATAAATTTGGCCCAGTCTTGGTAAAGTAATAAGCACTGTACACAGAAAGATGTATACGGGACTACACAAATGGTATCAGACCTGCTTACTTTGATTTCCTTATGTTTCTATGCTCACTACTCAGCCAGTATACACTTTCTACCAAAATCGTTTGGCAAATGCCATTTATTTGTAATTTTGAACATTCAGTGTAAGTTTCGTTTGATTTTGTGAGAATTAATTTTCTTTTTTACCAGAACTCAACTTTATCTTTAATGATGCTTCCTTTTCAAATCTGTGTGTATGGTAAAAATGTTGTCTAAAATGAAACTGACATTTATAATCCTCCCCCCAGCAACAAAACAAACCTTTTTAATGGTTTGATTGATCTTGTATCAAAGAAATGAAAATGGACATCATTCTTGTAGGTGAAGAATTACTTAAAAACACTTTTTAATTTTTTTTTCAAATATACAATGGGGTTTCTACGTTCTACATGTGTCTGTCTTGGTTTAAGTTACAGAATACATAGAAAATTAGCACCTTGTACTGCATAACTTCTGTCTGTCTGTCTGTCACTCTCCCTCTCTGTCTGTCTGTCTCTGTCTCTCTCTCTCTGTCTCTCTCTCTCTGTCTCTCTCTCTGTTCTTTAATAGCTCTTTAACTTCTTAAAGGTTAATGCCTTCATTTAGGTATGTACATGTACATATATATATAATATTCATCAAAGAGCAATTAATAACTTATTAAAATTGATTCGGCATCTACATAATCCTTTGACTAATTGCATTTTCATGTACATGTACATATACTATTTGCTACATCTGTAATTAGTAAAAATAAATATACTCTACAAAAATACACATTTTTCAGAATATAATATATTTCATCAGTTTTGTCGTAGAGGTGTTATATCACCGGACTGTGGATCATATGGTTCACAGTTTTAGTCCTGCAGCACTTTCTTCCTTTGGCAAGACATCAATCTACATTTACCACCCCACCCAGGTGTAGTTAATTATCACCCGCTAGGAAACTATTCCTTGATTGTTGATAGCATCTTAGGGGCAGCTGGGCTAAAGCCAGTGCCCCATTGCACAAAACTGACCATTGATGGTAACTTTGCCATCAATGGTAGCTACTATGGAAACCTTGATTTTGATTGGCTGTTGAGCCCTGTTACCATGGTAGTTGCCATTGATGGCAAAGTTACCAGCACCTTGAGCGATCCCCTGTAATAATAATAATAATAATAATAATAATAGCCTAATAGTCCACTCCAAATTTTATTAAACCGAAACAGAAATTCTTTTTGCCCAATTGATCGTGAGCCCGGCAGCCACTGAGCAGTGCCAGATCGACGTTGCTCTATCCCTTATTGTTGAACGCCAAACAAGGTAGCAACAACTCCCATCAATATAAACGTAGCTATTATCATTGTTATTATAGTCATGCAAAAATCCATATGTAATATCCGTACACAGGCTGCCAACTACCTTGACATCAAGGGTCTACTCGACGCTACATGCAAGACGGTAGCTAACATGATCAAGGGCAAGACTTCAGAAGAGATCCGAAAGACTTTCAATATCAAGAATGATTTCACTCCTGCAGAAGAAGAGCAAGTAAGTGCAATGATGTTTAAAGGCATCGTTTAACAATGTTAAATCCGGGATACATGGCCCTACGTGCTATCAGTGTCTGTGGTATGGTGTAATATTGAAGCCCCCCCCCCTAAAATTGCGCTTCAAAATGATCATGAAGTGCCTCAAAAAAGTAAAAATCTTTCACCATACTCATTTTCCCCAATAGACTGTAGTGTTATAAAAATGTAAGGAAAAAGTTTTTCAATTTCCAATCATAAATATCTTGATAATCAGACGGTCGATCAGCTTGTAAAATGTTCAGTTTGATATATTTCTACCAATCCCACTTCAATTTAAAGTACTAGATCTCTTTATCATTCACTGATTCAATGTATAATTTCACTATTTTGCCCCTTTGATCCTAAAACAGCTTACAGTACTTTTAATTGATTCTGTGATCATATGTTTTTTGGCACGATTCTAATTCTTGCTTTGTTCATAACATTTTTTTATTCTTTACCAATCCAATGCATACTGAGTGAGTCAAAAAAAAGTTTACACCTAGAAAATTGCTAATTATTTTAAAAATCATCTATGAACAGTAAATTATTATACATCTTATGAAAGAGTGTTTATTCCAAATCATTTGGTATAATTTTTGTGTGGTATGTGTTCACGCTTGGATGAACAGGAGGCATTATTTGCGAGAGTGAAAAAAAATCGACTTTCGCCAATTGATGCCTATTATGCAATATGCTGAGATTAGCGGATGAGAGAATGAATAATTGTATCAAATGAAATGCAATGCCTATGCTTTTTGCAGAAGGAAAGTCACACACACACGTGCACAAATGTTGTTGATATTTGATATTAGATATTTGATATCTGAGGCATGATTAATGTTGTTAGGGATGTTATTTGGATCTGCAAAGACCGAATTAATACCCAAATCCCAATTGCTTTATTCAAACATCACATAAGCAACTTTGGCACAAGTCGATTTTTGCACTCTCCCAAACAATGCCTCCTGTTCATCCAAGCGTGAACACATACCACACAAAAATGATACCAAATGAATTGTGATAAAATACTTTTTCATAAGATGTATAATAATTTACTGTTCATATATAATTGTTTAAATAATTAGCAATTTTCTAGGTGTAAACTTTTTTTTGACTCACACTCTATATTCAACAATCTGCTTTATATGTTTATAATCTACATTAAATTCTTAAAATATCTGTCTTTCAATGTTGAAGGGTTTAGCAAAATAGTACATGAAGTTGATTTTTTAAATAAACTTTACCCTTCTCTCTTTCTTTACTCCCCTTCCCCTTTTTTCTCTCTCTCTCTCGTTTTTATTCTCTTACTCTTCCTCTCCCTACCCCCCTCTCTCTCTCCATCTTTTCTCACTCATTCTGTCTCTTTTCTTTCTCCCTCTTACTCTCTATTTTCTCTTCTCTCTCCCTCTCATTCTTTCATTTTCAATTTCTCTCTCTCTCTCTCTTTCTCGTTTGTATTCTCTAACTCTTCCTCTCCCTACCTCTCTCTCTCTCTCTCTCTCTCTCCCCCATCTTTTCTCACAATTCTGTCTCTTTTCTTTCTCCCTCTTACTCTCCATTTTCTCTTCTCTCTCCCTCTCATTCTTTCATTTTCAATTTCTCTCTCTCTCTCTCTCTCTTTCTCGTTTTGTATTCTCTAACTCTTCCTCTCCCTACCTCTCTCTCTCTCTCTCTCTCTCCCCATCTTTTCTCACAATTCTGTCTCTTTTCTTTCTCCCTCTTACTCTCCATTTTCTCTTCTCTCTCCCTCTCATTCTTTCATTCTCAATTTCTCTCTCTCTCTCTCTCTTCCCCTGCAGGTGAGGAAAGAGAACAGTTGGTGTGAGGAGAAATAGGGCACTTGTACTCGATCACCACTTCAATATATTTTATGCAGACCATGTTGATTGCACGATGTTTGTATATATGTAGGTCCCAGCTCTATATTATCCTTACGGCCAGTTGATGTATATCCAGCATGTACATGATTGCCAAGCAAGGAACAATACTTAACTTTGTTCCCCAATGGACATCTATTGGTACATAAGAAAATTTAAGACTTTTTAGATGTTTTTTGCTACTGGTCACATTTTGAGTTTGTTTCATTGAAATGGCAATTCCGCCAAAAAACAGGTTAAATTTTCTCCATTACCAATTTTTAAAAATTTATGATTATCACAAGATGGTATCTCATATGATACACAGAAACCTGTGCATAAAGACCAATCGAGGGAGACAAGGAGAGTGGTCCTCATAGGCAGGCGATTGTTATGTCCAGGCTCTTTTGACACTTCAGGTCTCAAGGAGAAACACCGCCCAAGCTAACAGAAATATGGTCTTTATAAACAGGCGTTTGCTACACCAGGTTTCGCTGTAGGGGTAAGGTGATATTTTGCATTACTGCAAGACCGTGGACGACATCTTTCATGATCATTGCTTAACAACAAGATACATCTTGGGAGTATTTTGGCTGAATCATTGAACAATTGCGAAAGTAATTTTTTTCACCTTTGACTCTCTTCGCTTCAGAATTCTTTGAAATTAGAAGTCTTATGGCAAGAAGCTACTTCCTGGTTCAAAATGTATGAAATATTTATCTCTCGGCCATTGCCACTGTCACCAAAAAGTAAATCTAAACTTGGCATGTATATTTCAATGTCAAATTTTAATTTTGACCAAATCAAAAAGTTAGACCTGGATTTAAAAATCATACCGAGATCGGCTCTCCCGGTCTCAATCAACAACTAGGCACATGAGACAAGTATATCAGGCATTTTCATTAGGAATTGAATGCTTCAAAAGAAAGCAACATAAACAAGATAACATTGTGCAAGCAATAAATGCTATATTGTTTGATAGCTGTAGGTGCCCTTTACCCTAAATTTGTCTCTAAATATTTGTTTTAATGTTGTTGTTTTTTGGATTGTATAAAACAACATCAGAGTGGAGGTGAATTAACATTGCCTGACCAAATGAGTTCTTGCTTGAACATGTGAAGAAAAAAAACCGGCTGTTGCCTGCATTATGTGTATGTACATATATTAAAAATAACAGATTGTCGCCTGTAGGGGAAACAAAATTGTGTTTATAATCAGTTGAATATCACTGCTGTTGAAAATACCTTTTTGGACACTGATTTACCTATGAATTGAAGTGCTAATATTCTTTCTGGTGATTTTTTAGGGATCTTTGGGGCGTGAACTGAGACCATTATTATTTTCAATCATTTTTAAAATTTGTCATCCTGCTAAAGATTGTCCTATGCAAAACAAACAAAATAAAAAGAACAAGGAAATTGATAAATATAAACAGTTGTGTAAGTTACAATAAATATGTTGGAGCATCAGAAACACAACATTTTGGTATCACTACAAACAAAAAATATTTTCATCTTATTAAGCCCATCATGTCAGACCTATTGGAGGGGCAAAACTTTTTCTTGTAATGTAATAAGAGATGTTACTTGCATTCTAAAGATGAAAGCTTCGTATTTGAATGTGTAGTTTATTCTATGCACTCAAGTGTATGTGATTAAACATGTGTTTAAGTGCAGGTCAGACCTTGGCGATGACAATACCAAATAACTGGATTTCTCATTAAAGTTCCACGTGACAGCTGCCCTACTATTAATATACATGAGCGTACTCTCACATACACATAACATAGTAGGCTGTACCTTCAATTGAAAACGTTTTATTATCATTATCGTTGAGGTCTGACTGACCCTTTATAGAGAAAGGTCGATGGTTGAAAACTATTCAAACAGAGATTTGTTGTTCATTCTCAAAATTCAACAAGTTCACAAGCACTGATTTTGGTCCTTACTCCATCCACAATCTACCAGCTATTATGAGAATTCGTATCTGAAAAAAAATGGAGTCACATTCAAAAGTTGTCAAGTTCTGAAAGCAGTGAGGCAATTGGGGTGAGGTTAAGTAAAAGAAGGCATTTGTAACACTTAATAAAATGCATGAGGCTGGAATCGATGCACCATGGTGAGATTTTGGACATCTCGACAACTTTGTATTTGATTTTAATCCATTTGATTGAGTCTATCGTAAGCCTGCCTTTAATCATTATAAAGCTTTCTACAAATAAACCACTAGTGAAAGTGTGTCTCTCAAGTGTATTTTATAAATGTATCTTTAAGTATATGTCATATAAGCTGATGTACATGCATATCTCTGTTTCTTATTTGTGCTCATGTTTATTCAAAAACTTTAATTTATTTTCGGTTTCATTATCACAGCCTACACATATACCTGTGTAGGTTAATACTTCCATGCATATATACATGTGATTTAGTTTATTTAGGAAAGTTATTAGAAAAAAAAGGTTGTAATACTGGCCTATTTCTTTGAATTTAAAGATCAAGTAGGGTTCTCATATGGCAGAGTCTTTGATTAATTCTGCATGCATTATTTTAGGACCTGTGTTTTTTAACTTCTTGTAATCTTAATGCACAGTTCACATGAGACCTATAATGCACAACTACATATTGAAAACATATAACTCGATGTGCATGATTATTGATTATTTCGTTTGAACAATTGTACATTTTGTCACGTTCAATTTGTCCAAATTGCAAATGAGATGAAATTGTAAGAACTGAACATTAACTCTTTAGAAATGACACAAGTATAGTTCATGTAGTTATAAATAATGACATAGTTTTTAATACATGTATGTCTTTTGCTTTCTCAAAAGATATTCTTACATTGTTGTAGTGAAGTGTATTTTGAATGAGGGGGGGGGGGGCTGGCTTTTCAGTATTGCCCCTATAAACTGCTCCTACAACAGCTAAAACATATGGTTTCTGGTGTAGAATGCAATTGTGTATCGTGTATCAATTTTCTCATAACAGTTTTATGCTTACATGAAAACGTTCAAAGTGTTGGATTCTAGTTGAGTTGGAACACACAGTTATCACCATGTATTTGTGTCATTTAGATATGAGGGGATTGGTAATTTTGAGAGAAAGAGATATTTCATTAAGTTAACTGTATTTAGCCCAAATTTTTGATTGAAAGCTAGATATTACCCGATTTATAGTTCACTGATTCATCATGTGTTGAATGACCACCTCATCCTGAACCAAATCACATTGAAATTCTGTCAATGAAATTCAAATCTGAATTGAACTTTGTCAAGAATTTGACATAATATCATCTGTTGAGAGACAGAAGGGTGTTAATTCGGTGTCAAATTGTACGTGTTAACGACCTTCTGGCTCCAACAGACGATATGATAAATTCATGAAAAGTGATCATTTTGTTCAAATAGTTGCAGAGTTGAATTGATCTGTACATGATGAAGGGATTGAGACTTCTGCACCATCAATTACTGGACTAAGTTGAGAGTTATACCTGAATTCAAATTAGTTAATCCATGTTAGTTAGCGGGATCTTTTTTTAGCATGCAAATCGGATTTGAAGTGTTATGTCTGTTTTGAAATTAAAGTGTTAATTTGTGATAAAATTATAACCCCAATAGTTTTCAGATTGCCTTCTATGATTTGTGTGTGGTGTTGTCTAACATGACACTTGTTTTAAATACTTTCCTTTAGAAGGGTCCACACCCTGTCTTTAAAGGGCATCCGACCCTTGTAATAATTTCATTTGTATGAAAGCAGAAGAAGAAGAGAATTGCAAAAGTTTGACATAAATTGAACCAATAATTAGAAAATTACGAGTGTTTGAAATGTGAGATCACCAGATCTATGCAAAAATTGGTCAATAAACCCGTTTGTCATATACAAACATATCATGAATTTCTGTTCCCCCCCCCCCAAGCGCCTTCTCCATTGGGGAACTAATCAATTTATATTCAGAGTAGCATATTAAAGGTTCTCCAAACAGAAAAGACCCTTCTTAGTCATACATTTTGCAAAATTGACATTTTAATAATTTATTATTTATGAGACAAAAGGGAAAGTTGTCCGGCACTTATTCACAGTGACAAAGCCGATTCAGACAATTTACAATCAGTAAAGCGGAGTTTCGAGGACGAACTCAACGTCTTGAAATCCAACGATTGACAGAAAATCAAAAGTATTCGTAGTTCAATAACACTGGTAGCTAATGATAGCATGGGTCGTATGATGTTGGTGAGAGTCTGTTTAAAGCCTATCTGCCCTAGTTTGGCCAGGAGGGATTAGACCACCCAGGAAGGTCACTGACAGGTGGATATCTCATCAAATCGGCTCTCAATTAACATAAGAAAGAAAAAAGGATCATGACAAAGTGATCATGACAAAAAAAGTGTCCTCTTACCCCCCCCCCCCCCCCCCGCTTATTCAGCGGTTGGCTGAGTCGTTGCGAAATTTTCGGCCCGATTTATAAATGTTAAACCCCCCCCCCCCCTTGAAAAAAATCCGGCGTACGCGCCTGTAGTGACATGTTCAATTTGATGTGATTTGTCACGTTATCAGCTCTTGAGACAGAAATGATTATCATGGTTATAATATATCTAAATCATGAAGTTTTTAAAAAGAGAGGAACGGTGAAATATTTTTTTCAGGCAAATTGTACATAAGGAAAGTCATAGCCTCGAAGTAATCCAATCACAAGAATAAAAATTAGTGACAGAGAAAGAGAAAGCGAGAAATGGAAGGAGATAAAGGAAGAAAAGTGGAAGAAGAAGGGTTTGAAAGCAAGTGTAGTTACCGTCCTCCCCCCTACCAATGATAGTAATGAAAGCAGATAAAACGTCTGGCTTTATTATCCAGGATTCTACTACAATGGACTTCTAGCATGATTATCATATTCGCCACTGAAAGCCTAAAGAAGTCGCCCTCTATAGCCAAAAATGATGAATACGAATATACCGCCATTAAGTTCAAAGGTGCTTATATCCTGCGCGCTCTCTGTGGGAAAACCCACTGCTATGTATAGGATGCACAAACTACATTATATGAACAGACGATCTACTCAAGTGTGATTGTACCATTGTAACATTATTTATGTACACACTTGGATAGAGAATTAATACTTTTGATCATAGATAGGTGCACCTCTTTCGACGCATATTATTATTCAATGTGAAAACTTGGACTCAGGATATTGGTACATATACGTCACTGCATATTGTTTGAACTTGCATGAACTGACTGTTGATCATTTGTACATTTGCCAGAAAGCTGATATTTGTACCAATGGCTGAGAAGACTGAAGAAGATAAAGTTCCAAGCTCTTCATCGAACCTGACGTGTCCGCTATGTCTTGATATCTTCGACAAGGCAACCATCCTGACCTCATGCGGACACACCTTCTGTCGGAAATGTCTCAGGAACTATGACCTGTCCCATCAGGATCTCGATCACATGACCTGTCCTCTCTGCAGGGAGGTCACCAAGTTGTCTGCGAACCGTGTTGAAGATTTCCTCACCAATGTGACTGTCAACGCACTGGTAGACGATTACCACGCGAAATGTGGAGGGGTGAATGCTGTCCTTGAGATGCGTCCAAAATGCACTACTTGCAAACGTCAAGAAGAAGCTGTGTCATTCTGCAAAACCTGCAACAGCTACTTGTGTGAGAAGTGTCTGACGGGTCATCAGAATATGTCTTTGATGTTTGAGGCCCATGAGATCGTATTCGTACAGGATATCATCAGCGGGAAGGTCAGCATTGGTCATCTATCCGAGAAATGCTACATCCACAAACAAGAGAACAAAGATATGTTTTGTGAGGATTGTAAGGTCCATGTCTGTCTCAAGTGCGTGATCGTCGGTCATCAATTTCACAAAATCAAGAACCAGGCCGACTTCGAGCAGGAGTTACGGCTTAAGGTAAACGTAGTTTCATTGGTACCGTATCGGCGCTGGAATCGGGGAGGAGGTGAGGGCAGAGGGGGCTGATGGAATAGTTCAAGTGGAGGGGGGGGGGGGTGGCCTCGCAAGGTAGAAACAAAAAATTAGATGTAAATCCTTTGCATTGCAATACGCTACCTAAAATCAACATTTTCCCACACAGTCATTACGCTCCCTCGAATATTAATAGACCCGATGTTTATTATGTTCATAAACCCCCTTCTACAATATAGGCGCTGCAAGCATGGGAGCAGATACTTCTATCAATCAAAGGGTCGGAGAAACAGTAGATCCCCCCTCCCCTTGACAATTAATATTTTGTAGCAAAGCCCTATCAGCCGATTAGTCATCTTAAATGCAGAATTTAATAATTAAAAATACTAAATTTACTCAGTTATTGGTCGCTACCCTGCTCTACAAAATATAGAAAGTGCAGTCCTGTCTTTATACTGTAGAAAACCTGCTTCCAACAGGCAGCAAAAGCCAGGGGCATTTTATCCTATCTATGGGGGGTCGGAGCCCAATCGTTTCGCCCCCTAACACTGCCAAATATCTTAACAAACAAGGAAGGATTTGGTTTTCCGCCTCCCTTGCCAGACAAAGATTTTTGACATCAATAATTTTTGCAAAGCAAAAGAGCTTCTTAACAAAGTGTCACCATTCCATCTTTAACAAAAAATTCTCTCGGACGCTAAGCTCTATCGCACTATCAGGCGCGTACACAGGGGGGGGGGGGGGGGGGTTGGGGGGTTAAACCCCCCTTTGGTATTCTTTTGTGTATAACCCCCCCCCCCCCCATAACCCCCAACCCCCCCCCCCCCTTTGGTTTTTTTTTGTTTTGTTTTTTTTAAATTTTATTTATTAAAAAAAAAAAAAAAAAATATTCCCATGGTTTACCTAAAAAAGCTGACCTTACCCCTCAACGGAGCAAAATATCAAATTTTCAAATTTTGAGACAAAAAAAAAAAAAGTGTCCTCTTATCCCCCCCCCCCCCCCCCCCCCCGCTTATTCAGCGGCTGGCTGAGTCGTTGCGAAATTTTCGGCCCGATTTATAAATGTTAAACCCCCCCCCCCCCTTGAAAAAATCCTGCGTACGCGCCTGCGCACAATAATAGATGTACCCTTTCTGATTTGTACGAAATACAGATCAGTGGGGAGATGGCAAAGGCCCTGCCCGGCTCGCAAAAAAATATTACGATTTTACATAATATTATAACAGTCTTGAAAAGCTTTTAAGTACTCTGAAATACGGTTTCAAATTTCCAAAACGCTATATTTTTCCTCGCATTTTAATAGTTGGAATGTTACTTATCATTGTACAAACCCTGTCTACTGCAAATGCGCTTGAAACGTGTAGGGTGCGAAGTTCAAAGCTTCTCTCTAGTAAAGGGGGTGAGACAACAATCTTGCCACCCTCTGAGCAGACATGAAGTTCTTAAATGCTGCTCGCCTATGGTCTCTTATATGCAAACTTTTATTTTGAAGTAGGCTTGGATTTTCCCATGTGTTTCAAACTATACACTTTTTAATTTCACAAAAGCATTTTTTTGTTATCTGGGTCTCTTCACTGATTGGCTATGTTTTCCAGCCCAATTTCATCAGAAATACATCCGATTTAAAGGGATAGTTGAGTTCTGTTTTCAGACTGCAAATGCCTTCACAGTTCCTGTTTATTGCTCTTATTCTTATATATGACAATGCAGGCGCGTACGCAGGATTTTTTCAAGGGGGGGGGGGGGGGGGGGTTAACATTGATAAATCGGGCCGAAAATTTCGCAACGACTCAGCCAGCCGCTGAATAAGCGGGGGGGGGGGGGGGGGGGGGGGGGGGGGGGTAAGAGGACACTTTTTTTTTTTTTTTTTGGTCTCGATATTTGAAAATCTGACATTTTGCTCCGTTGGGGGGGGGGGGGGGAGGGGAGTAAGGTCAGCTTTTTTAGGTTAGTCATGGGAATTTTTTTTTCTCAAAGGGGGGTTAGGGGGGTTTAGGGGGGGGGGGTTTACACACAGAAAAATATCAAAGGGAGGGGGTTTAACCCCCCAACCCCCCCCCCCCCTGTGTACGCGCCTGTGACAATGTATTGTGCCCTTTTAGAACCTAAAATTGCTATGAAGGTAATTTTAGACCCCAAAATGTGTGAAGTTTAGCCAATACGATCATACCAATTCAGCTCCACACTAAAAAAAAAACACGGTGACCGTTAATTAATTATTTAATCAAAAATAACAATACATGGGCCGGATAATTGTGGCTAATATAAGCAACACGAAAATGCCAACAAAAAAGGCAACTTCGGCATTGGCTGACATACGACGTAAAAGGCGTTATTTCGTTTTTTTTCAACGGTTTTTTCAAATTTTTCAAAACATCTAATACTTGTGGTGGTACACAAGTATTAGAAATCGTAATATTTTAGCCTCTCTGAACCGATTTTGATCAAAAAAAGATGATTTTGTCATTTAGATATTCTGTTCTTTCACATTTGACACTCACTTTGTCATTATATCACAAAAATTATTTTGTGTAGCGCCCTCTGCAACAGAACTCAACTATCCCTTTAAATATGCGATCATTCTATTTCGAGCAAATTCGAATGATCACCGAGATCAACATTGAAAAAGATAACTAATTCTGGTATCGTCATCTCCGTTTCTTTCTTTTCTCCCTGTTTTGCTG